GTGTCAATGAAAGTGTTTGCTGAGGTATGCCATCAGAAAGCTTTCCCTGTAAACTTCAAGTTTCCTGATACCATGTTGTCCTTTGAATTTTTCAAGCCAGCCCGAACTTGCTTTGAAGGTGGGATCTCCATTTAATCTTGTATTGAAAAATATTGCTTTTTCACACAATAATGGACCAGGTATTGGCTGTCCAGATGATCATCTTTGTATGAGCCACATAAACATACACTCTTCAACTTTTTCATAACTTTATGCTCTGATGTTCCATCTTCTGACATTAAACAATTAGTAAACTTCATAATTTTTTCACTTTGTTTTTTTTTATATCTGAGATCGTTGACGTTCCAACACCATATTTATTAGATAAAGGACGTCCAGACTCACTGCGTTTCAAAGCATTGATGACCTCAGACCATGATTGAGCCGTCAGACCGTGGTGGCCCATATTGCCCATGCTTTACGCCGCCCTTGGCCATAGAAATGATGTAAGTTGAATATAAATTATTTATAAATATGTATGTCAAGTTATATTTTTATTACAACACAAAATGTATAAAAAAGTTTATGACCACTGTGCCTGGTGAGATATTGTTGAAACAAAAAAGTTATGCATTCCATTACGTACATAAACACTTTTGTTTTTAGTTGGCTGAAGAGGGGCAATAAATGCCCGAAACGTGTGTAATATCAACACGTATCAACTGAATAAAAACTTGATGATAAGAATTGCCAAGTGCCTGAAAATAAATACGATAATTATTTGTGTTTGAATTACTACTAATAACTACAAGCACGGTTTCAAAAGTACCAGAATAAGAATTCCAAAGCTGAAACGGCAACAATCATAAAAAAATGGATAAGAGTCAGCAAAAAAACAACAACAATTACAGAGAAAAACTGCAAGGTAAGATCGATAGGCATATTACAGACGTAAACTACCTTAAAACACATTTGATAGAAAAGAGACTTTTAACAACATTAACATTACCAAGATCAATAGCCGAAGCTATACCCACAAGAGAAAGAAATTCTATAAATTTTAAAATTCTACGAGCCGCAATACAATACAAATATATTCGGATTAGAAGATTGAAACGTACTATGAAAAAGCTTGAAGCAAAGAACAAATCAGATGAATTAAAAAATACAAATGAAAAGACAAAGAACAATCAAAGATATGAAACAAATAAATATAAAAGACTAGTTAAAAAATTCCAATATCCTACCATTGAAGAATTGGCAGAATGGAAAGAGAGTCTTATTTTAAATAAAACAAAAATAGATATTCCAACAAACATCAGAGGAATATTATACAAAGGTTTAGACTTCAATGGACCAAATAGATGGAATGTTTTAGATATAATACCAAATTTAGACAAAATCAGTAATAATCTTTCGGATACTGAATCGAATATGATGAAAATGAAACTAAGTAATAAAATTAAAAAATACGTAACTAAGGAAGGAGAAAAATCAATTGTCAGAGACAAGAATTATTTTCAATACCAAAATCAAATCAGGAAACTACATAATTTTTTGAAAGAAAACGAAATAGAAATCATAAAAGCCGACAAATCCAAACAAACTGTAATAGTTACCCAAGAATGGGTTAAAAACAAAAAACAAGAGATAATACAGAATAAAAAATTCAGAAAACTTCCTGTAAATCCTACTGAGGTTATATATTTAGAACTTAAGAAAAGAATTACAAAATTAGAACAACTAGGAGAAATTAACAAAAATGAAAAATGGTTTATTTTAATTGAAGGAAATGACCGCATACCAAAACTAAATATACAATTAAAAACTCATAAGATAGGTGAAAAAGTCCGGCCAATAATAGATTTTAAAATATTCAACATTATATAACTTAGAAAAATTTCTAAAGCAACAACTAAAACAGTATCCAAACTCAAGATTTGCAATTAAAAACACGGATGAACTTCTAGAAGAATTGAATAAAATTAGTATGGAAGAAAACTTTAAAATAGCAAGTCTCGACATTATAGACATGTACCCGTCAATAACGTGGGAACTTATAGAAGATAAATTAAAAAATCTTAAAGTTAAAAATGAAATAATAAGTTTAATAGAATTTTCATATAGAAGTAACTATTTCCAGGTTGACAATTACTTTTATACACAGACAAGCGGAATAAGCATGGGATCAGTAATTGGACCAAAGTTAGCAGAATTAATAATGATAGACATAGATAACATAATCAGCAATATAAGAGGTGTAAAATTTTATAAACGATACGTGGATGATATTCTAATAATATACAACGAAACAGAAATAAAGATAGAAGACATCAATAAACAAATTAATAATATACAAGAAGAGATAAAATTTAAAACAGAAACAGAAGACACAACCAAAAAAGAAATCAACTATTTAGACATTACGATAAGAAGATTAAAACAAAGTTTAGAATTTAGAACATTTAAAAAGCCTGGATCGAGTCAAATAACAATACGATACCAATCCAACGTACCACTTCACGTCAAATATAACATATTTAAAATGGAATATTCTAAGATAAAAAACAGGACAAGTCAAGAAATACATATATCCGCAGATTTAGCCGAATTAAAAAAGAAGTTTCTCCTGGCAGGCTACCCACAAAGACTAGTGAAAAAATGGGAACTTAAGATAAATAATCCTAAAGCACAACAGGTTAATAAGAAAACAAATAGCATTAAGTATATTGGATTTCCATATATTAAAGGATTACACGAACAAATTGATAATGAAATAAGCAATATGCACTTTAAGTTAGCACCGTCATACCAAAAAATGTATACAAAATTAAAACAATTCGAAAATGAGAAAAAACAACAACCACCAACAGAAACTAAGAACGTTGTGTATAAAATTCATTGTACTTGTAGCAATAATAAATATTACATAGGAGAAACAAAAAGGAAGCTAAAAACTAGATTAAAAGAACATATAGCGGATCTGAAATACAATAGACTAAATTCCGCCTTCCATGATCATTGCACCATGAATGATTGTACAATAGATAAAGATAATATACAAATACTCCACAAAGAAAAAGAAACATATAGTAGAAAGTTTAAAGAAAGTGTAGAAATTCTCAAAAGCAAAAAATGCATAAATAAAAATCTAAGTATTAAAATTAATGAAAACTGGCTAAATATCTTATAATCTGCAGAAACGATAATTTATGTAGAAGGTAATTTCTTGAAATATTTTATGTAAACAGGATTTTTAGAATGAGGTATTTTCTTGAAAAGAAATAATTTGTATAAAAAAGACATTTTAGGATAAAAAGTAATACTGCCACAAGGTGGCCTGCTAGTCATATGACTATAGTAACCAGTGGTACGCTTAACTGGGGGAAAGAAGAGGGGGAGGAGAGGTCATCCCAATGGTTTGCAAAAAGAGGAAATTGCATGATTTTGAAAGACAAATATGTCAATTTTAATATTGTTGTAAATGTATAAGGAAAATTTTAAAGTGTTTAGATTTTATAACAACGAAAAACAGATAATTAGGTACGTACTTCATTGTAAATTTGTCATGTAAATCCACATAAAAAATAAGGTTTTAAAATATTTTAGATAACAAAAACCGTATGTTTTCTTAGATTAATGTGTGTTAAGCGCCAAGAAATTTTTGTAACATAAGCGATGAAACCTGTGGTTTTTAATATCTTGATAACCTGTAATCAAAAAGGTATGCTTTTAGAAAAACAATACCTAATATGTTTGTTGTTGTAATTTTATAGTGTTGAACTTTTGTTTTTAGTTGGCTGAAGAGGGGCAATAAATGCCCGAAACGTGTGTAATATCAACACGTATCAACTGAATAAAAACTTGATGATAAGAATTGCCAAGTGCCTGAAAATAAATACGATAATTATTTGTGTTTGAATTAGTACATAAACAGTGTCGCAATTTGCCAAGTGCATGCAAATTTTTGTTTATTTTGAACCATCTGGATAATCGAGGTTCTACTATATTTATGCCGTATTGTATCTTATTTCTATACCAATGAATTAATGGTCACATAATGTGCGATTTTATTGAATGCACATTAAACATTTTTTTTATCCATTCAACTCACTCCTCAAGATTAGCAAACTAATAGCAAAGTGCATAAAAAAATAATCCATTTGTGGTAGAAAGTTTTTTTTTAATAAAGGATCTGGAGAAATCAACAAGGAGAACAAAAAACACAGCAGATAAGACTTTTCCCATATAAAATATTTTATAAAACTTTAGATGATAATGCCAGATGTTTCCCTAAGAAGGGGAGACCAAAAGCCTATCATAATACACAATTATTTCCATTATAAGCCATCATTAAACCAGTGATAAAAGAAAAATTAAAGATACTATAGATTTATTGTCATCCTACCAATTTATTATGAATATATTAAAGAATTGAAAATATTAGCGTTTAGAAATCCATTTATTGAATGAGGAGGTAACAGTGAAATAACACGGATTAATTATTTATGAATAATTATTTTAATAAATGTTGTGATTGAAATATTAATAATCAATAAAGGATAGTCTGATAGCCTGATAAAGGAATCTGGCTATTTATTTTATATCAATAACAATATTTTTTTAGTTATATATTTGATTTCAGTGAAATCACTGGTTAATTTTATAATGAGACATTAATAAAGAGTTTGCAGTTGTATTGCATTTTACTTATTGTTTTGTAACACTTCTCTATAATGTGAAATATGTTAACTTAGAAGTTTACTGAAATGAAATGTAAACATTCAAAATAGAATAGAAAGATCTGTTAGTAAACATCAAACAAATTAAAACTGGATTATAATTAAGCTAATAAGTTAATTTGAAGAACTTTCAAAAATTATATTAAATATGTGAACAAATTATTATAATTTTCTAAAAATAGTTTGACATATTTTCTGAATATTTGTTTTAAAAAGTAAAACTTATTTTAATTTAAACATACAATTGTAATGTATAGAAGTAAATAAAAATTGGAATACCTTCAACTGTAATTGCTACAGAAGCAGAAGCTTGATTAGAATCATACTGTGCATGACAACGATAATTTCCACTATGACCATTTTGAATGTTAGAAATAAGAAGTGTGTTGTTTGGTAGCAATTTTAATTTGTCATCAATTTGTATGACATTATTGTTAAAATACCAAGTAACAGTAGATAAATCTGTTCCTTTTACAATACAATCTAGTTGTACCAAGTCTCCAACTTTCACTTTGGAATTAATAGTTTTGATTTCTACAGAGAGATCAACTGTAAAATAAAATTGATATATTTATTACAACTCAACAATTAAAAAAAATTTTTTTTCTATATTTAATTTTACCAGGAGCCATTTCTTTTTCAGTAATGGGAGAAATACTGTCTGTTGTTGTCTCTTTCAAAGTGTTTTCATTATCAAAATTGACGTTTGACTTTGTATCGGAATCTTTTGATAAACGAACAGAAACATCCAAAGTTGCCACAGCTCCAATTCCATTATATGCTTGGCATGTGTACACTCCAATATCTTGATAGGTAACAGTTCTAATAAGAAGAGAATAATCTGGAAACTGTTGGAATCGAGCACTTGTAGTTGGAAGCATCGTTTTATCTCTCCACCAGCTTACAATAGGATTTGGGAATCCAGTTGCTGTGCATTGCAAGGTTGCTGGCTGACTGAGCTGAACAATAACTAAAGTAGGTCCCGGAAGAATTCGGACAGGCACTGATAATCAAAAATTGAAATTACTTTAAAATAAATGTTTCTTCTGATATATTATAGGGCTTATTCATTAATTAATTATGTGTACAGTTTAATGGAAAAGGGGTAGAAAAAGTACATTGTTGTACATGATGGAGAGGGAGGGGTCAAGGCATTGTCTATGTGGACTTTTTTTAGTGATGATAGTGTTGCAACTTTTTAAAGCCTTCAAATTCATACATACCAGAACAATGCCAGAGGGTATGAACTATTGTATGTACATATACTTTTGGCAAATCCCCTCCCCTAATTACATCATTGTACACAACAGGAAAAGAGGGGTCAAAAGTGGTTTAAAAACTGTAACTATAATTAATGGATAGCCACAGATAGATAGAAAAGGCATAAAGGTAGAGAAAATTAATTAATCATACAATTAATTTGACCAAAATATAAGAGCACAAGCATCATCTCATGAGAATTTTAATTATTGCTTATAATTGCAAAATATACCAAATACTGATCAACTTCATTGCATAAAAGTTATCTTAGCTTTGACTGTAATATTAATCAACCAATAGCATCAATAATTAATTTAGCCCATAGTACTGTTGTGCAAATATAGAAGTAAACTTTTTAGTGGGGGCCAACACTGGTTTAATAAATAAGAGAGAAATTTAATTTACCATCTAAGCTTTGAAAGAAACCTTATATTTTTTTTCATATTATTCTTATTTTAATATTAATTTTCTACTTTATTTTACAATTTTGAATGTAAATTTAAAAAAATCAAATCCATAATACTTGTAGAATGTCTCTCCTTTTTTTGAATGTTTGATAAATGGAATGGCTTTTTACTTGAAGGAGTACAAAAAAATACAAGTTCAACTGCCGTAAATGATCTGGCTATATTTTGGATATATGATTATAGATTAGAAATGAATTTGGCACTAGAGTGGCAGTTGTATGTGTACTTGCTTAAGATATCAGGTTTTCTATTGATGTGTATATTTATGTAGCCAAAAATGTTAGTAATTCAGAATAAACATTGCTTGAATAAGTAAGAGAAGTGAATTTGTCCATATCAGTGTTAATTGAAAAGTTCCAGTTTATTAACTTTATAGAAAACCTGAAGAAATGAATATATAATTTATATATATACTTGTGTTTCTGATTAACATTTAAGCTTCTTTAACTTTTAGCAGGGAAAACTGGCTCAGGGCCTATTCAGGAACTACAGAACTGGGAGGACAATACTAGTTTTGAAATAAGTTTAAATAATGGTTTTCTGAGTTAAACTGGATATAAGATCATTATTTTTATATATAGTAGTATGAAAAAATTTGAGTTTCTTAGTTATAAATAAGAGAGAGGGCTTTCTAGTTTCTTTAATTATTTATGAATGTTAATAAAGACTTAAGCAGGTCAAGAAGGGATAAACAAAGAAATTAAAATGGCTTGACAAGCCACAAAACAATCCTTGGCTATCATTGCCATTTGAACATGTTTCTTCAGGTAACTAACATTTGTACTGACACATTAAGGTAACTAACAATGTTTGTCCCAAAACATAAAAATCAATCTAAATTGCTATTTCCACTTAAAAATTACTTTACAAGCACTTGAGAATCATCTTTGGTTGGCTCTTTTATTTCCTTGTTAAACAAATTCATTTTTTTTATAACTATGTTAAGATATAACTTATGTACTGTACAATTGATAGCTACTGAGTTCTAAAGAATTTTGAGAAATATTTGAAACTAAATTTTATTAAAATGATGTTCTGCATAATATCTTTTTTTTTTTTAAGGTTACCAGATAAGAATAACACTTAAAGTTTGATGAACTGATACTATTATTATAAGTTCTGCAATTAGTAAACTTTTTTAAACATTGGATTTCAATCCACAATTTGCAGTAGAACAACTTCAGATATAGATTTTAATAGGGCTATTATTTGAGAATACAGTACTGTAAGTCATTTAATAAAAGATATTATTATTTCTATTTCTTAGTAAGATATATATTGTGTCCTGTTTTTGAAGTCCAGATCTATTTTTCATATATTATTATTGCATGTTTATAAATTACCTTAAATAATAGAATTAATGACTGTTATACCTAATAAATATAAATACCTTGAACTTGAAGATGGAATGTGTAAACTTTTGATTGACCATAGTTATCTCTTGTTATACATAAATAACTTCCATGGTCATTTTCTTCTATCCTCTGAATAGACAATGTTCCATTTGATAATATTGTAATGTGATTGTCATCTACTTGTAAAGGAACATTATTTCTACTCCATGTAAAAGTACTTCCTTTTGCTACTTTACATATTAAAGAAACAGTAGATCCAATTGTTGTAGTTTCATTAAATTCAGTGGGCTGAATGGAACTATCTTCTCTATTGACTAAAAATATCAAAATTAGATTAACTGAAGATTTGAAATCCTCTTATTAAAATAAATATTCTTACTCTCATTTATTTCTGATGTTAACATTGTTGCTAGAAATTGAAAAATGAAATGAAGATTGTAATATGAAAATATTAAATTTTTGTTACAATTTTCGTTTTTAACGTGAAAAAATTTTACTTACTTGTTTCAAAAATAGGATCCATGCATACATTAGTACAACCATTAAAGCAACATTTTCGATCGTCTCTACAGTCGGAATCCAATCTGCAACGTTCGGTGCACTCTGTATCATATGGGTCTGCTGCTTTGCTTTCTATTTTTGGACACTGACCTAATTTATTTACTTTTGGAAAGTACATTTAATATTTTAAATACACACACATATTTTAAATAATAATAGTGAAATTATGAAAACAGTTTTATTTTACTTAAACGACATATAGGTTGTGCACGTGGTTCTCCTTCTATTGTGCGATATATTTCGATAGCACATCTACTATCTTCAGGGCAAGTATGGACCTAAAGAAACAATCTTTTAAATGATATTTCTCAGAATATTAAAATATATTTTAAATGCTAAATTTAACAAATATATATGAGACTGCAGCATATCATAGGAATTTTTTTCATGTTCACTATTAATGTTTAATTCATTCTGATATTTTTTCAAATTGCTTTTTCTGGACAAAAAAAAAATAAAATCAGATACACTGAAGTTTTTAAGGTTTACAAGGACATTCAATTCTTACCATTTGGGAAGAATTAAAAAATTAAATACATGGAGCAACTGAATAGCTATAAAATATATATATATATATATATATTTTATATAACAGTTTGCCTATCTTATAATTTTTATACGGTGTTTTTAAAGGTATCTTGGTATCTTGCCAGTTTGGTGTTTCAAAGTGACATGAAATATATATATATTTCATATGTTTAAAAAGTTTCTCTGTTGTGAGTATTGTAGGTTGTAATTAACCATTTTGCCTCATCAATTGGTTTCAGATGATACTTGATTACTATGCCATGTGTATGCTTTACTATTTCAGTGCAAGTACAAGCAATTTAATTTAATGCAGTGTTTGCATATATACAGTCTTGGTTCAGTATGTCCATGTTAGCTGCATGGGGAATGCTAACGATTGAAGAGCACAAGGTTTGGTTGACCACATGTTCCAAATGGCTTAAAAAATGGCACAGGAAGAGACTACAAGGTAGTCAAAAAGATATTGTAGTTCTTTCCTTACAAAACACAGACCATTCACAAATTGCTGATTCCACTATATATATACTGTTGACATACTGTTTTTTATACTGTTGGCAGTTCCTAAACTTTGTAGCAGAGAGCATGAAGTGTGGGGTGACTGCTTTTTTTTTATAAATGAGGTATCCATTTATCAGGATATATAAATTTTCAAAACTCATGGTAATGGAATCTTTAAGATACTATCTACATATGCTGTGTGAACAGTCTTCATAAGCTGAAAAGTTGGAAATTGGATAGCAATAGGTAAAAAACTTATTGCTATTGCAGAAACCTATACTTTAACCATGTTTCTTTCCCTTAAGTGAAGTTCAGTGTACATTAATATTTACAATCAAATTTTTTCTAGTCTGAAGTGTAAGCATATCAGTTAACATCTCTTTTGCATACTTTCAAAAATTTGTATTATTGCTTTATAAACTTTCAATAAAATATAAGCAAATTTAACTGATTTTTGTATTCAAAATTTCAGAAATTTTTCAGATTTAAAAAGTTTTCATCTGACTATGTTCATAATAAATGAAAGTACAATAACCCCTTGTTATATCACAAATTTGAATATCACACTTTTTTTGGTTCCCCAAATTTTAAAAGCACTCGAGTCAATAAATTTTAAAACATCAATTGCCATTGAATTTCTTTTTGCAATGAAATACAATATTTTATTCCTATCATTGTCCTTGAAACTACCACTGCAGCTGAAACATTAAATTCATCAAGATATAAATAATTGATCTGTTGTCCTATTTTGTTTATCATTTATATTTTCTTTTGATATTAAAAGTTGTTTATTTATTGGTTTTAAGTACTGTCTCCTCACTTACAAGTTTACAAAGTGAATTTGAAATTTCAAATTCAGAGAATGTGTAAGGAAAAGATTTCTTTATTTCTGAACAGACACTACTGTACAAAAAATTTTAGAACTAACTTTAACAGTAAAAATTCTCTAAAAAGCAAAATATTTTATAAGTTTTGATGTTCTAGTATATGTTCAATATTTAGTTTTGAAATTTCAATTACTGTATTTATAATTTTTATTGAAAAATATAAATTACACAAAATTGGATCTAAATCGAAGAAAATTGCAAGGCATATGTGAAAGTTTGTGTAATAAATTATACAAATTTTTAATAAGTGATTTATTATGAAATATAGTATTGTACTGTGTAATAAAATTGCAACTGATATTTTGTTTTTATATCTACAGTATTTGTCTTTAAATGTCATTGTTAAAGAAACAATAATGCTGAATTGGCATTCATGGTATCAATATTTACATAATCATCAATTAATACAATATAACCACAAATAAAATTCAGTATTGCAAAACTAAGCTTATTTTATATCAGAAACACCTGCTCTTTCATCAGTAAGTGTTTCTGATGAAGCACCTATTCTCATCAGCAAGTGAGTAGGGGATAGAGATTCCATAGCATGTATAATCTGTTTAGTATAAGCCCAGAATTTTTAGTACTCGTTTATATCATGCTGCCACTTTTTAACACACTTTTTCTTTGTCTCTCGATAAGTGCGATATAATAAGAGGCTACTGTACTTCATTCTTTCATTATGTTGTAGTCATACTAACTTATCTTTTTAAAAACAAAAATTTTACATCAGTAAGTGTTCTTTTGGATATCAAATAAATATAATTGAAGATTTTGATGCTTTTTCATATTCTCAATTGGCTGAAAAGAATGATTCACAAAAAATTTACCTGAAAATAAAAATAGATATTTTGTTGTAACACTGCAATCTAATATAAGTTTCTTTGAGGCTAAAATTACATGATACTTGTTAAGGTTAATGTCAACACTTAAGTAGATTCTTGTGAAACCTCATATATTTAATTAATCAATTCTAGAAAATATTAATGTTATATATTAAATATTTATACAAAATTAAAATTTACCTCACATGGATTAGAGCAACGACAATAAGTACAACCATGTTCATCTGCCTTTTCTTCTTTGCCAAAAGGACATTGTAATTGATCACAATTGGAAACAGGACAGGGAAGTTTAGTTGTTGCATCAGGAATATTTTCTTAAAAATAAAAGTTAAAAGAAGTTTTGAATACAACTTTTATTAACAAATGATTGATTATGATTAAATTATTCTTCATTTCTGATTTGAAAAGCAAAATAATATAAACCCAAAATAAAAACAAAGTTGAAAATTGTTGATATTTTAATTCTTTTTATTTGATAAAATTTTTATTCCTTTTTTTGTACTTATTTTATATACTAGCATTTTTCTTTAGAAGAAGATATTTTCTTTTTTTGTATTTTGTTAAACTTGTAATTCCAACATAAAAATAAATTTTTCCTTTTGGAAATATCAATGTTAAAACAACATATGCATGTGTGAGATCGAGCACTTGATTTTGCATAAATTTAAGAAAATTATTAAGCCCATTTCTCTGTTGCTATCGTTAAGAAAACATCGCACAGAAAATGGATTGAATGACAACCTGTTCTATCAACAACTGGGAGAGAAATATAACAACCGAGCATTAAACAACTGGCTGTCAAAGGAGGAGAAAGTCAACTATTGAACGAGTAAATAGAGGGAATTAAACCAAATATGGTCATGATAGCTTCATTCGGATGCCATCATAATGTCATCAACGGAGACCCCTGACCTCACACCTGCAGATTTGTCGCCAAACAGTTGATCACTTGATCATTTTCCCAGGCAAAATCAAATATAAGTAATAAAAATAAAAACCATTCAACTATCCAGCAAAATTCTTTAATAACTTAAAAACGTTTTCAAACGCATTAAGCGTTAATTCTATAATTCGAAATGTGAAATTCGAAAAATTACGCAACGGAAATTCCAAATAACGGTTATGTAAAAAATTAAAATGTAATGTGTTACAAACGAAAGTGCTATATACAAATTTTCGTGTGCTTAATAAACAATAATAATAATAACAAATAAATAAATAAAATATCTATCATTGATCATCATAAGCCTGATTGAGCCTTTTATATAGATCTATGCCAATTCGTCGCAAAAAGATTTCCAAGCGGACGAAAGCCCGTCGGCATCCCTATAGTTGATACATTGCGCGCTCTTCTGTGCCCTGTGGATTTCCAGCTTTTCGAGATATTTTATCGCGTGTCTAGATGTAGTGGCTTTTATTATAGAGGCCTGGTCCCAGAAAACAGTAATGCCTTGTTGTTTAGCATAAGTGGCAAGGACCATGCTGTCAATTGTTTTGTTCACTGAAAGCTTATGCTCATTGATTCTTTTTTTCAAATTCCTCAAAGTTGCGCCTATATATACTAAGTAAGAGTTGAACAGGCAGTCTCTTAGCAGTATCGAGTATATTCCTGTTAAGGAGTTGCGTTCATAATCCCCCTTGTCATTCCTTAACATTCTGTATATAGTGGGATTACGTCGATAAACTATCTGCAAGTTCTTACTTTTGAAAACCTCTTGATAATCGGTTTAAGGAAGGGTATATAATCGAGGACCATTTTTTCTTTTTGGTGGTTTTGCTTTTGCCTCCTCGTAAGATTATTATCTTTCTTAATGAGAGCCTCTATTCTCCCGTAGCCATGCTGCATGGCTACGGGAGAAGAAGAATAGAGAGACCTAAATGTCAATCAAAAAACCAACTGTACTGTATAATAAACAGGTACAGCCTTCTCGCTGAAATTGTAGTTTTTTTAATGTAGTGTAGGACCTACAAACACTTGTCTTTTTCTTTTACCCGCGACCCCCTGTGTAAGGCTTCGCGACCCCCTGGGGGTCGCAACCCACAGGTTGAAAAGCACTGACATACAGAAAACACTCTTGAATGTTTTTGCAATTCTCAATGTTTCAAGGTCCAAAAGTGTAAAAATCTTGGGGTATTTTCTTTTACGAACTGCCATACTTTCTCTTTGTTATATATAACAGCTAGGAAAGTAAAATATATTCCTAGTAATAAGTTTGAATAAATTTTCACATTCAAATGAGTTAACATTTTATACATTTCAAATTTTACAGAATAAGTGTTCTATTTCATTTATCAATATAAAGTTTGTTTGATGCTGAAGACTTTAAATTTAGGCCAAAAACGTTTTGTGTTTAAATGCAAAATATTTCTTTAAGGTTACTAAAACTATTATTTATTACACTATAGTGTTACATTTCACTGGATTTTCATATATATTCCTAGTTTACATTTATTTAATGTTGTGAAATTCGAAGTTAATAAAAGCATTTAATACTTTAAAGGTTTAATAAATTTAAATTAAAAATGTCCTCAACCAAAGGAATTTGACCCTACAAAAACGAAATCTAAAGTACATGCGAGAATTATAACTCTTTTTGTTTAAATATAAACATTCTCACGAGCAAACCGTATATAGTTTACAGTTATCGGCGAAATTCGTCATATTGTTGTCATTCTAACACCACCTTTAACCCCACACCTGCTAAAACAATTGATCACCTGACGAATTTTCCCACCAAAAAGATATAAAAGCCATCCTCCTTCTCCCTTCTCCGGGGAGTCGCTAATCAAGAAGTCGCCATCGCACCATCAAGATAGAGATTCGCTTCCCTCTAACCAGCCGCATCACATAATAGAAGAACTTCGATCCCAACCCTCAACTTGGATCCCGCCTTCCAGAAATTAAAGGCCTTCGCTATTTATCGCAAGAGGTATGAACGCTTTATTGTAAGCTCTCTCTCTCATACGCGAATGAGACTTACCGTGTTAAAACGTTTGTTTTATTATTTGTCTGTAATAAATTGTTAGTTTAGAAAAATGGTGTCTTTATTCGACTATGCCAACGCCTTATCGTCGACCCCTCCGACTCTCCTCCACTCGCGTAACGCGTAACCGAACGTTACTACCATCCCTGACAAGAAAGTAGGTCACAGACCAGTGGCCGGAGGGAGAGGACTCCTCTTCCCTCCCGGTGGCTCACATATTGGTGTCACAGAAGTGGGGTTTGAATCTAAAAATCCCTAGAACCCTCACATATTGGTTTGCAGGAGTGGGGTCCGACTTTATCGGAAAATCGATAAGGCGAAGGAGGCTATAATCGAGAAAATAGTGGATTTGAATCGTAGTAGGGATTGTTTAGACCTAAGATTTATTTAGACCTAGTTTTTAAGTTTAGATAGAAGTAAGTTTAGAAAATAGACCTAATGGAGGAAGCAGCTCGTGATGCGGCTAGGGCAGGCAACCCAAACCCAAATCCTAACCCAACACCGAATCCCCTTACGTTGGGAGGATTGAGTAGAATTATCCCTTTATTACCTGTATTCTCGGGCGAAGCTGGAGGCCCCAGGGTGACAGACTTCTTTGATTCGTTGACGGATGTCACCAAGGTAGCGGCATGGTCGAAAGCGCAAATGTTGGCCGTTGCCAAGCTTAAACTTACCGGGATAGCCCGGGAATTTGTTAGGAAGGACCGTCGAATCAAGGAAGTAGAGGAATTCGACGAGTTTAAGCGATTGATGATAGAGCGTTTTGACCGCAAACCCTTTACCTTTCGACTAAATAGGTTTTATACGTGCGTGCAGAAACGGGAGGAAGACGTACAGATGTATGCTGCTCGCCTACAGGCGTTGGCCATGGAGATAGAGATCACACCGGAGCCTGGCGCAAATGCCGCAGAAACAGCCATCATTCACAGAGTCCAAAGCAAGGAGCTAGATGAGAGATTGAAGGCACAATTCCTAAATGGGATCGATATACGCATAAGGCAGTGAACGATGTCACGAGAGCCTGCCACCTTCAACGACGCACTAAAAGCCGCCATTAGTGAGGAAAGGATAGAGAACCTTACCGCACATCCTCGAGGGATCATGCGAACAATTAGAGAAGGCGACAAATCGACCGATTCCTCCCCCTCTTCAAATGAGCTACATCAATTAACTGCAGCGATAGACGAGATTAAGGCTCGCATGGAAAGTTTAACCAGACTTCCCTCTCAAAACAGCTTTAGAAACCATACTTCAAGGAGAAACCAGCGAGGAAGTTATACGAGTATCAACTATAATAACAATAATACCTATAATAATCCGACCTTTCGACGAAGGGAATATCGCTCGAACTCCCCTAATCACAGAGACGCTCAGTTGAGTAACCGACCTAGCGAACGCTCTACGCGTCCACGAAACGACTTTCAGAATTGAGGTAGATGGGAAGGCAGTATACGTAGTATCAAAGAACAACGACCTCAATATTGCTTTCGAAGAAACCCTACCGAGGAGAACGAGACGAGGTGGAAAGGCAGAATAGGACTAACGAGAACTGTGTTAAAACCTAACCCTATTATATTAGTCTACATTAATAATATCCCCGTGAAAATGCAAGTTGACCCTAGAGTGGAACGAACGCTCATATCAAAGGACCTAGCAAACCGATTGAAGGGGAAAGCTCCTCTCAAATTTGGACTTAGACAAAAATTAGAACCCATCTTAGGTAAGCCAACTACTGCAATAGGAACAGTAATGCCTACGTTTAAATTATGGGGAAAGAAACTTTGCATGCCATGTGGTATAGTACGAGCCGAAGTCACTACCCCGTGTGACGGGATCTTAGGCCGCGACTTCATAGAGGCGGCGCGACTAACATTAGACTTTGATAACGCCCAAGTGGTGTTGCCCCATGGAAAGCTGATCCATTTTTGTACGTCTCGGCGACTGTGAAAAAGAAAGAGGCGGCGGGAAGACCTCGATAAACGTGAGCATTTTCGGGAATATTCGGACGTCTTCTCTGAACGAAGTGTGAACGAAGAAAGAAAAACCGGAGAAAACCGTCCGAGAATTAAAAACGGAAGGAAACCCGCAATCCATCGAACCCGCAAACGACCGAGAATACAGCGGGAAAACACGGGCATGACCATCGAATCACCTACCGAAACCTCAGAAGAAGACTCATTAATGACCGCCTCACAACAAAGTATGTTTTCCGAGGAGGACTTCAATTTAGCCTCCATACTCCCTTCATTACCGGAAAGCGAAATTGAGAGCGAGGACACTGAGCCCGAATCGGAACCGGAAGGAAAACATGAAATTACTCCTCCATATATATTCCGAAGTCAAAGAGCAGTTCCAGATCAACAGTGGGTTACGCCTAGAACTACCCGTGGTCGAATTTCACAATTTATTTAACCCGCCTCTAGTCGGTCATCCTCACCTTAGGTCTGCAAATGAGTTGTAACATATTGATAGGGCATTAATTTCATTTCAAGAATAGAGGAATATAGAGAAAGGGCTCTAATTAAATTAACCTAGTCCAAATTCATTCCGTTATTTACTCTTAGATCTCAACAAAGTCAGAGAACAAATTTTCCTTCCCACGATAAATTTTTTCGAAACGCATATTCCTAACTTTATAACGGAATATAATCGATATTAGATTCACTTTAATTTTTGCTTTATTCGTTAAGCTATTTTGTATCCTATTAAGTAATATTAGCCCATAATATTAAGAAGTAAAATTACTGAGAGAGAGAGTAAACCCACACATTATGTAAATCTACTTACCTCTACAACCCAGGGATATTCTTTACTCCATAAATTGTTACTAATAATATTTTATCTGACCCAAGAACAGTGCCACTTCTCCTCCAGAATGTAATGATACAGGTGCCGAACAGTCAGTTACCGACTGAAATTTTTCACCTAATTCAACTGATCTTCCATAATAAAACATATCCACCAAGTATCATCTTTCCGAAGATTTCGCCAATATTCGGATCAAGATATTCACCAGTTCCTGCTCCCAAACCCGTCAAATGCATATCGTTCACCCGCACCAGAAAACCTACAACCAGCCTCCACAACAAGAACTTTGAACTACTCTACTCCAATCAAGAAGCCAGCGACTGACAACAACTTAAGAAGACGCTGTTAATGACCTTAAACCATAAATATTGTCGCGAGTTTAACGCGTGCCGGGATAAAAAGTATATGTACACCTAGTTCTAATTGCTACGCCTAAATACCAACCAAATGTTCTTATCAATAGATGTTTCATGTTTCACATGTAAAAAAAAAATTCCTATCAATAGTTAAGAGAGAGAGAAAAAGAAATGAGAGATTTCTAATCGTTTTGTAATCATACCTCTAGCCGAAAGCGAAAATTCAATCAACCACCAAATTTTTAAAATTGCACTATTTAAGTACAATTTTAAAGAAAGCGAAGAGTGATGTGAAATTCGAAGTTAATAAAAGCATTTAATACTTTAAAGGTTTAATAAATTTAAATTAAAAATGGCCTCAACCAAAGGAATTTGACCCTACAAAAACGAAATCTAAAGTACATGCGAGAATTATAACTCTTTTTGTTTAAATATAAACATTCTCACGATCAAACCGTATATAGTTTACAGTTATCGGCGAAATTCGTCATATTGTTGTCATTCTAACACCACCTTTAACCCCACACCTGCTAAAACAATTGATCACCTGACGAATTTTCCCACCAAAAAGATATAAAAGCCATCCTCCTTCTCCCTTCTCCGGGGAGTCGCTAATCAAGAAGTCGCCATCGCACCATCAAGATAGAGATTCGCTTCCCTCTAACCAGCCGCATCACATAATAGAAGAACTTCGATCCCAACCCTCAACTTGGATCCCGCCTTCCAGAAATTAAAGGCCTTCGCTATTTATCGCAAGAGGTATGAACGCTTTATTGTAAGCTCTCTCTCTCATACGCAAATGACACTTACCGTGTTAAAACGTTTGTTTTATTATTTGTCTGTAATAAATTGTTAGTTTAGAAAAATGGTGTCTTTATTCGACTATGCCAACGCCTTATCATCGACCCCTCCGACTCTCCTCCACTCGCGTAACGCGTAACTGCACGTTACTACCATCCCTGACAAGAAAGTAGGTCACCGACCAGTGGCTGGAGGGAGAGGACTCCTCTTCCCTCCTGGTGGCTCACATATTGGTGTCACAGAAGTGGGGTTTGAATCTAAAAATCCCTAGAACCCTCACAATGTTATATATATTATAAAGATTTGATAAAATAGTACATGTATCCAATCATATTAGTATAAATTATTAGTAATTTTCATATCTGAAGTTTTTTATTTGATTTTATCATCATAAAGTGATAAGCTAATTTAAAATTAAGTCATTTTATAGATGATTAAAAATAGTTAATGCTTGATAAATAAAATATTTTTATAAGAGCTGATGACATTAGCAAAAAAGCATGTTAACTTTTGAATGATATTCCTAGGACAATTTTTAAATATTTTAAATAATCTGTTCACCTTTGGTTTCTCCACAAAATTTCATACAAATATCAAATGTTTTGAATCGATTTTTGTTTCCACCACAACCAGTATATACAAATGGCAAACAAGTTTTGCTGCTGGGATCATAAAACCATCGAGCATGAAATTCATTGCATAATCCAGTATCTGCAGGCATTTGACAGATGTCTAAAATAAAAAATTTATATTAATTAACTATAGTTATAATGCATTTAATTTCATCAAATTATAGTAATAGTTCTTTCAATTTTCTATTAATAAAATGAAAGACATAATACAAAAATAAAAATATTTAAGTAAACAATGTAAAAGTTGTAAAGCTTCAAAATTTTAGATATTTTATGAACTTTTTTATAATTTTTAAGTTTTACATACTAAATAAAATTATTTTTATACTTCAAAATTTCTTCAAAATTTAAAATAGTAATAACAAAATAATTATTCATAGGAATAAAAAATTTTTTACCAGCATTGTCATGTGAAATAGTAGAATATGTAGTAGTATGTAATTCTATAAAATAATTATAAAAATAATTTAAATATGAAATAATTAAAAATTCAAATATCACAAAAATATGAAACGATTTGAAAAATTAACATTTACCTTTATGTAATTTTTTAACACATCTTAACTCACAATCTCTTCGAGATTGGAAACGATTATTATTACCTTGACAACCACCATATTTAAATTTTTTGCAAGAATTAGTTGAAACATCATAATACCATTGAGTGTATTCACCAAGACAAGGACCAGAATCTCTAGACATTGTGCAAATATCTAAAATAAATTTAGAGAAAACACAAATTATTGTAATCTTTAGTTATTTTAAACACTATTTATTCATCATAAAGTTATTCAAAACCAAAGAAAATATATGTATACTAAAAGGTTCAGATTAAAAAATAAAATTTAAAATATACATATTTTCAGCAAGTTTTTATTTATGATATATAGGTCTATATTTCATTATTTGTTAATTTGTTGACATGTTTTATTCTTTCTACTATTCTATATCACAATTCATGATATTAGACTTGAAAATTGATCCTTGCAATTAATCATTAAGTGCACAAAAACAGTTTTAAATTAAATACATTATATACCTTCAAAAACTTTGATACTAAAAATAAATTTAAAAACTCATGCCAATATTTATCTAGTTTCTGGGTACTAAAGAAGCTTTATTAACGCTGAACTCAGTGAATTTGTACCCAGAAACTTTGATACTATAATTTTGTGTGGATAACCTGTGGATTATCTGTGTTTGGAAGATAATTTGGAGTATAGGTTATGCAATGGGGTGGGTTATATGCTGATTTTATATTTCAATCACAAGTTAAAGTTCATTTACACTATAATTATTTTCTGTTTGATTTTTCTGAGTTTACATTATTACTACTACTTGACAAAGGAAGTTAGTCAAAATAAAAACAATAAATTGTATTCATTTATTTATTCATTTAATCTGTATAATTAGGATGGTTCATAAAACCTGCAATTGAATTATTAGGATAGACAGTGAATAAAGTGATGAATTTTACAGTATTTCAGAGGGATTTTTCAGTCACTTCCCTGTTAAAATTAAATTCTATACCATACAAACATGAGACATCTTCACATTCAGGTTAGTGAAGGCACTATATAAGTGTGCCCTTATTGTGTATGCCACTGCACTGTTACTTGAATACTAATGGACAAATTGCTATGAAACTTTACCCATCAATCTAGTTGCATCCCTGGGTTGACACTTTCAATTATATTCACATACCGTATGCTTCTAAATTCAATGGTTGACACAATGGTGAGAAAATGACATTTCTAAATGAACCATTGAGTTCTCCATTGAGACCAGTGACATCAGCGCTGTTTCATCATTGAGCTCAATGGTAAAACGACCTGAAAGACTGTTGAGTATTCAACAAACTAACATGGCGGCTTTCGTGAAAAAGTAGATTTTGCTTATAGAAGCTATCCATTCGCTCTTGCTGTGAATGCTGTAATAGCGAACAGATTAATGAATGATCTGTATATCATAAAACATGTCATTGCACAATTATATTGAATAATTTAGTGAATATTGAAATATTAATCTTTTTTGTCATAAACAAAATACCTCCACAAATTTGTCCAAAATTGAATACGACTGATATCTGGCCCTCTATAAGTCTTCCTAATGATATAAATATTCAAGAAATTCAAATTATTAAAGAAAGACCCAGTATACAAAAAAAATGATACAGATAATGGTTCATTTGAATAAAAGGATTTATTTGAATAATGGTTAAGTGAATTACTTTAATTATTTAGAAAAACAGTCACAATTGTTACCTTCTCCTTAATTAAGTTGCTCATCACAAAAGTGCCCTTTCAACGGAAACGTTTCTTTTTTCTACAAAACATGATGTCAGATCTTTCAATGGAGGGACTCAACAAAAAATTCACTGCTGAGTCAATCGTTGAATATAGAAACGTAAGGATAGAATCAGACATGTGGCTCAGAAAAATTTTACATGTCCCTAATGTAAATAAAGATCTTGTCTCCTTCCTCTGATGGCCAAATATACAGGGTGATTCAAAAGTCACAGAAATTTAAAAAAATTAATAACTCGCAAATTATTTACAGTAAGATGATGAAGTTTTCATGGAAATGCTTAGAAAGAAACGTGATTTTTTTTATGTGTAATAAAAATATTAGTACCAAAATAGTTACATTTCTTGCCATAGATGGCACTTGATGAGATTACATAATTTGTGAAGTTGTTACTAGAGCTTACACTAAGAACATTTTTATTTTTTAATTCTTACTTTAACCAATTGACAAATGATTTCAATTTTTACAGCATCATCTATGGCAAGAAATGTAACTATTTTGTTACTAAAATTTTTATTACACCTAAAAAATCCTGTTTCTTTCTAAGCATTTCTGTGAAAACTGCATCATCTTACTGTAAATAGTTTGTGAGGTATTAATTTTTTAAAATTTCTGTGACTTTTGAATCACTCTGTATTTACCCAAAATAAAAAAGGGCATATGTGTATCGAGTTATCAAAGCTCATAAAAATCAACTAATATCATTTATCTGGACATTACATAATGGATATCCAGCTTTAGTATATTGAGGAACACCTACATTTCAGTATTTAGTCAATAAATGAAATATAAATTTAGACTGTGTTTCTTATAGAAAAGTTTATATTTATATGTCAAAAATAAGAAATTCAAATATTAAATTCATATTAATTAAAATGGTACCTTGAGTATGGGGAGTGGATGTAATCTTACAATATTTCTCACATCTTTCTTTATCATCAAATCTATTAGCATTTCCTTGGCATCCACTAAACATAAATTCAACACATTCATCTGTCGAGTGAGAATAATGCCATTGAACAAAAGATCCACTGCATGACCCTTGCACTTTGGGTAATTTGCAGATATCTGGAAATATATTAATAAATGATAAAATAATCATTGCTTAAATAAAATCAATATAATGTTAAAAAAACAATAACTGCAAAGGAAAATTAAAGTTACCAAAAAGATAAAGCTCATTGAAACTAACTATAGACTCAATTTTAAGGCTTTACAAATCCAACATAAGTAGCTAAATTAACCCATCCAACATAATTGACAAATACTGGTATTTTTCCTAAAATTTGAACTAATCACATACTGAGTATAATTTTGATAGTGATTTTTTATTTTACTTATTCATAAATTACTTCATTGCTAAGTTTTATGATAATTGTTTATTATCTTTCTTTTTTTGTCTTACATAACCAAGGGTGGAATTTATGCTAAGCATGAGATGCTATAAATTTGTACTTTCTTGACAGTAAGCATGATTAATTTCTGTCTCATTACTGTATATAAGTGAAGATACTAATTTCTTCAGTTATATCAATTTTGTCTAAATAAATAAATAATAAATATAGAGTATATCAAAGCATTCCTACAAATGCCAATGATTCATTCAAATTTATTATAATTTGAGAACAATGCCTCCTATAATAATAAATGAAAAAATTTCTCAAAGGCCTAAATTAAATTAATTTAACATATTCCAGCTTTAAATGATTTTCCTAAAATTCATTACAATATAAACTATTTTATGTATGCTTTACCACATTATTAAAATAAACAAAAATTTTATTTTAACAACCATGTAAATATGAGAAACTAGATAAGCTTATATGAAATTAACATCAAGAACACCAAAAAATCCAGCACATAAAAGCAATTTAATGTAAAAACAAACATTTTTTATTGTTTATAATAGCCATCTTCAAGTACAAATGTTTATTTTTACATTAAATTACTTTTATGTACTGGATTTTTGGCATTCATGACGTTAATTTCAAATTTTATTTTTGTACATGTTTGAAATTTTAAAAGCTTCGCCAAATTGTGACTTATTTACACAAAAGTCTTATTTGAATGAACAATTTATAAACTTTAAGGTTCTTATTTTTATTTTGAATTTTAAAATTTTAAACAAATTTGATTAAAAATCACAAAATAATAAAGAATAAAGTGTATAATAAATTTTGTTGAAATCATAAATAAAATTATGCATATAGAGATTTGGAAAATTATAACAGAATTGACAAAAATTAAAGAACAGTACACTCTTGCTAATATGGTCCCACAGTTATCTGGCATACTCCCGATTGTACTATGTTTGTCTCCTATTCGTGTTTCTTTTTTAGTACTTACAATAAACTTGTAACATTAAATTTAATACAATAATTGTAAGTGTAATTTTTTATTACTAAAAATAGTACAGCTCAGTGACATTTGATGATAGGGAAGCTGTGCCAACCCTGGATAGAATCATTGGAAGCGTTATACAATATTTTGGTGTGTAGCATCCATGAGCTAAACTGCATGAGATTGGTGCTCTGTAAAGTGCATGCACAAATGTGTATAATCATGCTGCTTTACACCATTCAAATATTTTTGTCATGGAAGCTGTCCCACATTTGACAATACAGTGCTTCCATTGGGAATATGCACATATGAATTTATATTCAAATATATCATTGTTTTTCACATGTATATAAATTTGTAATAAGATACATAATGCAGTTGTAAAATATTAATTTTAATTAATTCAAAGTACATTAAAATATGAAAATAATCGCACAATATGTATTTATATTTTAGAAAATAGAAGGGAAGCAGTGCTTCTACAGCTTCCATGGACGGCATGCCACTGGTACAGCTTTAAAAAATTCAGAACCAAAGGGCAAAAATTGACATCAATCATTACCTTTAGGCCTATACACACACAGTAATTCAACATAACTGTGCAAGAAAAGTGCATTAACAAGAGTCTAGTATATAAGAAAATTAATACTTATGCTTTTATGAGTCAAAAATCATTACAAAATTACTTCTTTATATTGAAATTTAAACAATTAACAATAAGACTACACGTGTTACTTGTTAAAATAATTCTTTTTTAAGTCACTCATATATATAGTATATATGTAGCACTATCTTAAACATTTTCAGAATCATATCTATTATTATCTGTTTTTTTTCTCACTAATTGAATTAATCCCTCAACATAAATTTATTTATTATGCCATAAGGCAAACAAGAACCACTCCAAAGAAGATTATAAAAAAAATTCTTGTAATTATAAAGTAATAAATATAAAAAATACTTGAAAAGTATTTTTCTTAAATCTGCTATGCTCCTTTCAAATAAAACAAATCTACATAAAGATTTTGAAACAACATATGTCAAATTCATTGAGATGAGAATAGACAGACACAAAATATCAAATTTAATCAATAGAATAAATTTTTTATTACTTTATTTATCATTATTAAACTGATAATCTGGAAATTACTAAAGATTAAAATTCTCAAAAAGTAAGAATAATTTTATTTCTTTTTTTTTAATTTTCAGTAATTTTTAAAAATCTAATAATTAATAAGCTAAAATTTGTAGAATGAAAAATGCTTACATGTGTGAAATACATATTATATTTTATTTTCTAGAAATTATTTTATATGAACATTATCAAATAATGCAGAAAAGAATCTCTCTCTCTCTCTCTCTCTCTCTTCATTTTGAAACCTTCAGTTCTTTTCTCTATTTTATACAAAATTAAAACATAGTAAAAAATAAAAGAATACCTTGAGAATATGTGCATTTTGTTTCACATTCCCTTCTTGATTGAAATCTATTTCCATTTCCTTCGCAACCGCCATAGTAAAATTCCTTGCATACTCCATCAGTTTTATCATAGTACCATCTAATTTCTCTATTTGGACAAGATCCAGAATCTTGATCAAGAAAACAGTAATCTGAAAAAAGAATAAAGGGAACAAATTTAATATTTTGTAAGTTCCTAAATCATATATTAAAATAAAATAATTTTATTAACAATTAGAATAATAATATTTGGATAATAGGTTAAAGAAGAATTTGGAAAAGTAACAGCAATGTAAGCATCAGATATATTTAAAAACAGCTGTCAAAACTGAAACTTTAAAAGAAATTAATTGAAAATATAATTAATTATTTAATTTTAATTAATTTATAATCAAATGAATTATTTTAAAATAATATCTTGTATTTATTTCCAATTCAAATTATGTTTAAAAGACCAAGAATGGGTCAAAAGATTAAGATACAGTATGTTATTAAATAAATTTCTGTATATCCTATTTTGAAAAATAGGATATACAGAATTTCATCAAAATATCATCTTCCATGATTTTGCACATTCAGGAAACATTTAGAAAAATCAACTTCTTTCAGGGATTACAAAATATCTTTCAATTTGTTTGTATGCATTCTATTAACTGAAACCATTTTCCATTTTCCTTTTTTTATTCATTACCTAAAGTCATTAGGGGCTAGATCAGGAAAGTAGGATGGTTTTGAAAGAACAGTAGTTCCTTGTTTTCTCAAACAAATACTGTAATGATTGAAATAGCTGTATATGGCCTGATCAGTGGCAAATCAAAGCTATCCAGAGGAGACTGGATAACTCAAAAATTAAAAATATTTGAATAATTAATGAATATCAAGTACATATTATTAACATATACATAATGATTGTATTACAGATGGTCTGATAAACCATATTTGCCATTATAAATGATTTTAAAAACAATGTTTTGAAGTTAATAAACTCCAAATACCTTTAAAATGTAGTCTATTTTAAACCACTTATCAAACGTTTTCGGTCAAATTAACAGACCTTCTTCAGGATCAAACTAACAGAATTTAAGTTTGCCAAACGGAAATTCCAAAACTTATGTTTTACAATCTTCTCAGATTCGATTGCACAAGTCCATTTGTTCTTTATAATTGTAACTCTGCCACTTTCCATGCTGATGCTATTTTGTTTGATTCTCAAAAATTTATATTTTGCCCTTTTTCCCTGTATTTATAAATGTGCCAGGCTTCTGCATACATCTAAAGTATGCAGAAGCCTGTTACAAGATTATTTTTTAACGTTTTACAAAGAACTTTAAAAAACAATCTTTTAAGATGTTTTTTGCTGGAAATATTTATATTACTATAATTAAGAAAAATACTTATTACTAAAGGGTAGTGAAAGTAAAACAAATTTCTAAAATTATACAATATAACAGAACACAATTTAACTTTTTATTTGCAAAAGTCATAAAGCTGGAGAAACATTTTGATAACACCAATAGTTTTAAGTTGTATATAGAACTAATACTGGATAAATCTAATGTATAACATGTAAAAAAACCAAAAAGCAAGCAAAAGAAGTGTAAATTTAATCAGAAACTAGCATTTAGAACAGTTTGTAACCTAACAACGATTGCTAAACGCTGTTGAAAACATTAGTTTCTCATAGGATTTACATTTCTTTTGCTGGATTTTGATTTTTTGCATGTGTCTAGTAATAAGTTATCTATTACATCAATTACATGAGAAATATATATTTAAAATAAGTTATAAAAATATATAATGAACTATTTTCCACTGATTTTTATTATTATTCAAGTTTAATTTTAATTTCATAATCATAAAATCAACAATAAGTTTATTATTAAATTTTTTTATTGAGTACTTATATCAAATAAAATGAACATGGTTTGTGTATGAGGTTAAAATTATCTAAAATATTTTATACACATATTAGCAAATACTTATTTAAAAAAAAAAGTTTTTTTTACTGATTTCTTGATGTTTTCTGTACGACATACCATATTAACTTGCATAAAAGACGAGGTTTTTATTCATTTTTCACAGCTTCAAAAACCTAGGTCATCCTATATGTGCAAGTGAAGGATTCTTTGCATTTTTGCAATAATTTTTGTGAACTGTGTATTCGCATTTTTTACTGGATGCTTACCCTCTGTTGTTTAAAAACAAAAGTATTTTCACTGGGCTATTTCAATCATTCTTGCATATTGTCAAGAGTGAACATGAATAGCAATAGGAAAAGCAAAGCTTTTGAATTGACTTCCAAATTGAAATTCCAAAATCACACAGGAGCCAGATATAAGTTTTAATCCATTTCCACATGAAAACAGATAATTATTCGGAAATCAGAATTCAGAGAAATTCATAAGTATAATCGACAGAGAGTGGATTCAATTGTTAAGAATTGGCAAAAAAAAAAGGGTTCCTGATTGTCCAGCTTCACATGAACAAATTATGTTGTAGATTTTACAAGATTTTTCCTTAAAGTTTAAAATGCCAGTAATTTTTGTGGGACAATGTGTACATTTACATGCATTTGATATTTTACTTGTGATTGAACGAAATAAAATTAGAATTGTATTAATAAATCTAATTTTTTTTATTTTGATCTTTAAAGTCACACCTTGTCCTATGTGCAAGATTATCTTATATGTGAGTAAATACAGTAAATGGGAGAAAACAGATTGTTATTATGTATAACATCTTCATTACAGAATATAACTTTTTATGATATAAACATTAAGTTACCTATTTTAAATTTTTCTGGCTTTACTGTTGTTACTGATTTTCCACATTGTTTTTCACATTCATGATAGCTTCCAAAATTATTCTTGTTGCCATTACAACCACTGTAATAGAAACTTTTACATTCTTTCCTTTTGACATCAAAATACCATCTTTGTTTAAAATCATAACAATTTCCAATAACCTGAGGTAACTTACAAATGTCTTTTTCTATTAAAAGAAAAATAATCTCAGTATATTTAAAATAAAATATAAACTTAGAAAAAATAAAAAATTTTCAAGCATATTAGATATTTATATTTTTAAAAATAGTTCTTTATTAAGTCATGCTATTTAATATTTACAGTACATCGTATATTCAACATACAATTACCAGCATAAAAAAAGAAAATATTATGCACTGTAGATGTAAAATTAATAAAATAAAAAAATCCATGAATAAATATTCGTTAACAAAATGACAAATTTCATAAATGGACTGCCATGCATTATACAGATTGTCTGCATCTCTATGATTGATGCACTTTGATTTTTTCTGAGCCTTATAAATTTTTATGAATTATTTACCTCCAATTATTTTTTAACTTTATGGGTAATAGTTGAGTACTTATTTTGTTGTCTTTCTTTATGAGATACAGTATATATATTGAATTTTACTATTTACATGATAAATAAAAAATTTTTACTTTTTTTATCATTTTATATTAAAAGATAGATAACATTAAACATCAAAAATTTATTTACTTACCTTTCTCTGCTAAACATCTATTTTCACAGTCACTTAAAGTTTCAAAACGATTATCATTACCATCACACCCACTATAGTAGAACTGTTCACATGTTTGTGTTTGAACATTAAAATACCAATATATCACAGCTGCTGTGCAGGTTCCCTCTTTTTTTGGCAAATCACAAATATCAAGAGATACAGGTGATACAGGCACTACAAAGTGAAAGTTATGATAATTAATTATTGTGAAGACAATGGAAATATTATAGTTTTCTATTCATTATGTAAAAAATTCTTTCTAATTACTATAAGATAAATCTTATTATACAATATAAAATGCAAGAGAAAAGCATTTTCTACTGCATCTTGCAAAAGATATGATTCTCATCTTAAATTATCAAGAATTGTATTAATTATTAAATTAACTATGCTAATTAGACAATTTTTAAAGTTTTATACTATACTTTGAAGATAAATTTAACAATTAAAGTAATATTTAGTTAATAAATAATTAATGACATTATATACTGTATAGATCAGAGGTCATCAAATTAGTGGTCCACGAGAAAATTTTGCTGGTCCCCAGAAAAATGTGGAATATACTTACTCATCACGTTATGTTATGTTTTAAGATGCATTGAAACATAATTCAATTCATAACAATACATGAAAAGTTATAAAAACTTGTAGAATATAATCATTGTCTTTATATTGATATATCATGTATACAACAATGTTTAATTTCCACCAATTCACGTGCAAAGAAGTATTTACTTTCGACACTTGGGGCATCACCGTCACTGTAAAAGCTTCTCTAGTCAGACCTCCACCGCAATCCAGACGCAAATGCAAATTGGTTCATTTTATTAACTAGGTATATTTTATGTGTTCTTAGATCACAATTTTTTTTATATATACATTTAACACTTAAAAAATCCTATTAGTGGTCCGCGGGATTTAAATTATGAATTTACTGGTCCGTGAGGTCAAAAAGTTTTGCGACCACTGGTATAGATGATTTTTCATAATAACTGTAACTCTAATCACAAAACTGTATTTACTTATTTTTTATATAAACTATTACTATGAAAAATATCTTATATCAAAAAATAGTTATCGTGAAAAATGTAAGAAAGCCGACTTCCAGGGACAAACAGTTAATTGCACATCAGGAAAAGCCTAGGGACTGATTTTATGTGAGTGATGATGGAGGCAAAGATGACATGTGTCCTTACAAAACTGTTTATTTTTGTCATAAAATAACTTACACTATGAAAAAATAGTCTGCTTTGAAGATTAGGTGACTAGGTATGATGACCGTCAATTTTATAGTGTCACTTGACTGTTGATGGTGGCAGTGATGATGATGCTTAGGCGATGGTGATGGCAATGGCAAGGGCCCTGGGGCAGAGACAACATAGGTGAGATGGTCAGGCAAATATGGAGTTCCTTGGTGATGTCGGGATCTGTTATAATCCTGTGGGTGTGACACAGATCAAATGCTATAGGTATTGGAGGAGAAATCTCCTTCAAACTTGAGATCGGGGTTTTTATAGGATTTTTCCCTCGAATCTCACCTTTTGATTGGTCCTGTATCCGCTTCCATGCTTTCTGATTGGTCTCCCTTTTGTTTCTAGGTGATAACAGAGACTTGATTGGGTGATGAGAAAGATCTGTTTTGTGGCATCTGTCCAGTACCTTTTTGTCAACTCTGACATGAGTTTGTTGATAAAACTAAGCCATGTGTTCATAATTTAGCCTGTTGTTTCTATTTTCTGTCAATTTTCGGACTTTAGTGATTGCATGTGATGTTTTTCTAGCCATCAAATCTTTCCACTTTTTTGATTTTTTTGACCAGGGGAGATAGCACTTGTGTCAGAGATCTATCTTCCCTGGCTGGCATTCCACCTTATGTCATTCGTCTTTGCATTTGTTTTAACAACTACAGTTTTTTTCTCTCCTCTCTCTTACATAACTAACATAACCTTTGGTCTGACTCGACAATAGTGCTTTCGCTTTTAATTACTTTGAAATTAAATTTTAGTTGTGACCTGTTCTGGAACCTCACAAAAATAAATAATTGTACTGAATGTCCAAAAAACTGATAGATTACAAAAAGTATTATGCATTTAAGGAAAATAGATTAAAATTTTCAATTTTCAGTAGTAATGTTAAACAAGATTTAAACAAGACCTAATTGCAAGATTAAAACAAAGACCAAGACAAAGGACTTGTAATTGAAGATCAAGGTTTTAATATTCAAGACCAAGGCACAAGATTCTGATACCTTATAACACTGCCTTTTTAATTTGTGAGGATTTTTAAATTCTCATAAAATCCTTACACAAAATATAATTAACACACACACACACACACACATATATATATATATATGTATATGTTAATTATATTTTGTACATACAAGTAAATATAGTAAGAAAGTATATAATTNTAGGTTGTCGTTCCACCAATGGGTTGCTTTTTTACAGGTTTTTATGGTTGAGGCCCTTTGCTGAGCCAGCTGGAGGGAGGAGGTGATGTGGTTCACATATCGGTCAATTTCTTGCTTGTTTGTAAGGTCTTGGAAGTGATGATTCCTCCATTCCTGTGCAAATGCTGTATTGAAAAGTGTCCAGTTTGTGAGTTTCCTGTGGTGGGGTACGTCATTGATATGGCTATGTTGTACGTTTTGTATTTCCGTAAGAATGTAGCGATGATCGCTTGCTGAGTCAGTGAGCAGCGTGCTGCAACTTATGATGTTTCTCCCTATGTTGGTAGGGGCAAGGCAGACGTCTGTCCACCCCTTACCACGGTCAGTCTGAAAGGTGGGGAGGTCAGATGTGTTCAGCGAGAGTCCGTCCATTTCATTTAAGAAATCTTGCATAAGCCTCCCTCTTGCATCTTCTTCCTCGTGGTACCATAGGGAGGATTTGGCATTACAGTCTCCTGCAATTATGAATTTAGTACCTTCCAGTTCTTTAGTAACTCGACTTAGTTCATTGACACAGTCTGCGTCGTTGTCAAAAGGGGAGAAGTATAAGCAGACTATGTAGTCCAAAGGGCCATGTTGAATGGCTGCGGTGGTGATTCTGTTGGAGGACAGACCAGGGACCAATACAGCATTTATCCCTTGGTTACGGATTATTATCCCGCATTTCGTTCTGTCCGTGGTTGGTTTGTGGTTTAGGATCTTCCAAGAACCAAAGCGCACAATATCCTTGTTTATGGTGTACGGCTCCTGGATTAAGATGATGTCTATGTCCATACGATTGGCTGTTTGAACCAGCAGGGAACATGCCGCTTGGCTCTTTTGGGTATTTATTTGGAGAATTCTGTAACATTGGTTGAACATTGCGAATGGGAAGACAGTAAGCAGGAGGGTTAACTATTATTGCTCATAGATAGTCTGCTTAACTAAGAGCCTTTTGTACTTCTGTAGTATTGGGCATGTAGCAGAGTAAGCGTTGTGGTTGGTGTAGAGTTTGTGGTCGTCCTTCCCATTTTTATTAGCTTTACTGCAGTTCGTACATTTAGGCTCTTCTCTTTGATAAGGACAGTCTTTGTATTTGTGCTTTTCCGCACAATGACTGCATCTTTCTGATGAGTCACAAGTATTCGCCATATGTCCGTACCCAGTGCATTTATAACAGCGGAGAACTGATACGTAGTCATCTACGATCAGTGAGCTCCATCCATAACTTAGATATTTTAATCGGATTAGAACGTTTCGAAGCCCTGGGGATACTTCCAATACCACGTGTCTATGTTCTTCTTTCGTCCTAGACTGAATCGTATGTGTTATTTTTATTTCCTTGGTAAAGGTTTCAAGAGAAAGTTTTTCCCAGATTTCCTCATTCTGTTCGTAGATATTATGTATAAATGTTGCCTTGTCTTCCTTCTGGGGGACATTTAATATTATTATCTTCGGTTTCTTTAGTCTAGGGGTTGATAGTTTAACCTTACTGTTCACTGCCGGTATTTTTTCTATTGCTTCTTTGAGACTACCCAAATCACGGGTTGTCTTTACCCGGACTTTGAGGCTACTGCTAGGGAGGGTCTGGATAGATTTTACACCTATGTTTAAGGTTCTAGGATCTATGTTTTCTTGGAGGGAGTCCATGACCTCTTCTGGGCACAGTCTCTCTCCCTCGGCAGTTTCAATTGGCTCTATGATCAAGTCCTTATTAGAGTTTTGTTGGGAGGCATTGCTCATCACTTCACTGATCATATTGGTTGTTTGACTACAATTAAATTTGCTTTTTTTTACTATGCTAGCGTAGCTTTCTTGGTTGGTTTGCGGTTTAGATCGTAGAGCAAGCACCATCCCGTATAGGCTATTAGCCACCGCATGCATGTTCATGGCCGCCTCCCGTACGCCTTTTCGGCCCTTGGTAGTTATAGTACCCTGTGAATTCGACGGAATAGTTTCCATAATAATGTTAAGACTGGCTGTGAGTTGTTCGAATAGGTCCTTTTCTGGGAAAGCCATGATGAGAATCACGTGAAAGCCGTCAAGCAGCTACAGACGCTGATCGGCGGAAGGAGCACGAAGGGTGAAGTGAGCCGACCACGTGCAAAGGTCAATGACCTTTCACTTCTTTGTTCAATGAAGATATGAAAACTAGTATAACTTTAAAACTATTAACCGTGGCGACACAGAAATTTATACAGACGAAGACAAGGGTATGGCCAAAGAACTACCCGAAAATGGTAAGGATTGGTGGCCCGAGAAGCCCGCGGGACGGCCCGATCTGAAACAACTTCCGATCGATAAAGAACACGATTAAAACGACAGATCAAAAGACCGACGACGGCGTTGGAGAGCCCTTGAAAAGGCGAGAAGGATGATATATTACTCAACCACTCACCAGTAAAAACCACCCGAAGAAGGCGGTCAAAAAACTCGGAATTTCCGGGTGTCGTAATGCCTGTCCCCCTGGACGAAACCGGAAAAACTAGACGTCAAACGGTAGATAATGATGAGATGAATCCAACGGTGTGAATTAATCCTCGGATTGAAGCACAATAATCCGGATGCGGCGATCGTAAGTCGGAGCTCACTCTCGCACGTCTTGACCACTCGAAGACCTACTGCACCTGCGTTGAAGCCATACTGCCTGGCAATATAAGACATCTTCTGCCAACTCTCTACCTTTGCTATTATCTCTTGCTTAGTTTCTATAGTAAGCACAGTTATTGGCACACCACTCTTTTTAGGTCCCCTAATATTATCAGTTTTTTAAATAAAAAGTTCAGAAAAGAACTTACAAAAATTCAGAAAACAGAAATTAACTAGTGCAAAAAATATTATGTACAACTGTGAATATCTTGTTCCATAAACCATGCATAGATGCCATTAAAATATAATTTTACAAATCTTAAATGCAGCTTCACTTCTTGTGTTTGTTCTGTCAGGTGTTCATTATCCAAACATGTTTGTTGTCCGATTTGTTCGCAGTCCAAACTGTTTGTTAACCGATCACCCACTGTATATGGCAAGATGGACCTATTTGATTTCTACCACCACTCTTAAAATAACTCCTTTTGGAATTTTTTTGTGGGTTATGTAAAGAGCCTAATTTATCAAACACATATAATAGATATTGAAATACATAATACACACAGTTTGAACTGTCACTCAATACATATTACATTACACCTAGAGAGACACTGAATATCACCTTAATGTTGAGAGTAATGCATGATGCAAATATTGAGATTTCCTAAAAATGAGAAATCTTTTTGAGTTTGTTCACTAATTAGAGTAAATCTTCTAGTTGTATCTACTTTCGTAAAATAAATATGCATTTCTGTAATCTGTTAGTTCTTTTAAGAACACTCTGCATTATTTAGTATATGCCTTTAAGAATAATCAAATTTTTTAATTAAATAAATTAACTATCTACATAATTTTTTATTCTAAAGGATATTTGCAAATTGTTTTAAAAATATATTTTGTAAATAATTACTTCTTAATATAAGTAATAAATTACCTGGTACAACTTGAGATGTGCAAGTTTGTTCACAAATTTCTTTTGATATAAATCGATTATTATTTCCAAGACATCCTTTATAAATAAATTCTTCACATTGCTTTGTTTGACTATTATAATACCATGATGGGAATTTACCATCGCATGATCCATCTACTTTAGGTAAAAAGCATGCAGCTACATAAAAAAATATTTAAATTATTTATAATCATTATTTTATGATTATTTAATTAGCATTTGTAATAATCTTTGCCATAATTATAATGAATTAATTACAATAAGAGTATTTTGTCAAATTAATAACAAACATATACATAAACCATAAACAATTTTTACATTTTTCACCTGCAACATTTTTCAATTCTTTGTTTTTTCTTTTCTAAAACTTTCCTTTTTATTACTTTAGGCCTGGGGCCAGACAAGGGACGAGTTTGGACTCAGTACAGGAGTGACAATGGACATATCAGGAAGCATTCTTTTTTGGTACAGAGAAAACCCTCAAATGTTTTTGTTCTTCTCAATGTTTCATGGTCCTGAGTCCAAAAATATAAAAATCTTGGAGGTCATTTTTTGACTGATTGCCACACTTTCCCTCTGTTATATGTAACAGAGCTGGGATAGTAAAAATGATAGTTTTAATACAAGTTCAGTATTTAATACTTACTTTAATACAAGTTTTAAAAGTTCAATATTCTAAAGAATAAACACACAATATAAGAGAAATACAATAATGAATTACTAAAAGATTTAGAATAAGGCTGACAATATTTATAGAATGAAAAATAACTGATTAAACATAAAAGAATAATTTGATAAATTTGAATCTAAAATTTGTTAACTAAATATCAATGAAACAGAATAAAATTTTACAGAATTTTACCTTTTCCTTCTGGAGAAACACACAATTTTTCACAATCTTCTTGAGTATTAAAACGATTTCCATTTCCTTCACATCCCCCATACCAAAATCTTGAACATCCTCCATATGTCACATCAAAGTACCATTTCACACTATAATTTTGACATGATCCTATTTCATGTTCTAAGTGACATATTTCTAAAAGAAAAATTTTATAATTTGAACAGATAGACAGATAAGACATTTATAGATAAAATATCAACTAAACTAAATATATCAAATTCAAAAATATCAATACATATATAATTAAAATTCCTATAGTAAATTCTCAGTTATCTAAAATTAATTCTACATTCTTTTAGATAATCTATTGTGGATATGGTCATGCTCAAGATCTATAGATATACAAACATCTCCAACCCGATATATAATATAGCTACAACCAACAGACTGCCGAAAATATTTAATAATTAGCAAAAAACTAGCCCGATAGATTTTCGGCAGTCTGTTGGTTGATCTATAGATATTTGTTGAAATGATATCTACACTATATAAGTAAAATTTGAATATCTGTTAAAATTATAGATCTATTCATTAATTACATATATAGTTTTTGAGCCACTTTTCATTCTATTCCTCTCTGTTGTGTACAATAATGTACTTTTGGCAAATACTCTCCCCTTCAATTACATGTGCAATAGTTCATAGATTCCCCCTACATTAAAGAAATAACTTAAAAAGTTCTGCAATAATTTCTGGCAGTTTATTAACATGACTAGTAAGTAGGTTTATAAAAACAAACTGCTATACCACTAAAATAAGTCCAATGAAAATGTCTTGACCCCTCCCCTCTCCATTGTGTATAATGATGTACTTTTTACACAGTCCCTCCCTCCTTAAATTATACACATAATTAATAATGGGAAGTCCCTATGAGTAGTTTTAATAATATATATATTATTCCATTTATTTGTTATATATTAGAATGTTTTTCTATTCTATTATATATATATATATATATATATAAAATGTGTGTGTGTGTAGTACACTCTTCTTTCTTGTTAATCCAACCTTGTATTGCAGTACACAAATTAAAACTAGACCAACATATTTGAACAACAATAGTGTTCTAGCTTTAAATGCAGAAATATTTATTGAGGATGTTCCAGAAATTTTTCAGGACAGAGAAAAGAAGAATGACCAAAAAAAAAAAAAAAAATGATAAGGTGCTATATCTTGAAAAAATGGATTCATTGGAGAAAAACAATATTTTGACCTTAAAAGACTTACTCAAAGGAAAAGAATCATTCACAATAAATGGGTATATTTAAGGTTAAAAATGAATCAGGATATATCGATTGATACAAAGCAAGACTTGTTACAAAATGATACTTCTAATGGAGAGGTTTTGATTATGATGAAGTGTATATATTTCATCATCATATATACCTGTTGTAAGGATAACAACAACCAGAACTGGTCAATTCTCTAAAGATTTATCAATTGTCTGAAGATCTACATGTGTCAAATGGACATTAAGAATACTATTCTCCAGGAGATCTACAAGAAGATATATTAATGAAGTAGCCAGTGGACTTCTGATTGATTCAGAACTTGTATGTAAGCCAAACAAAGCACTTATTTATCTCCATAATGGAGATAAATTGAAACAGGTGCCTCATGGTAGAATGTCTGCTTTGAAGCAAAAATTAATATTTATACAATCTGAAAATGATAAATATATGTATATATATAAATTAATAGATATATTTGAACTAATATATAGACAACATTATAATTAATTTGTACTAATTGGAATGCAGATGCTAAATTTAATGTTAAACATTTAAAAATAACGTACACTCCAATTAGATCATATTAATGTTAATGTTAAAATTTACATCAACATTATAATTGCAAGCAATAACCAAAACATGCCATAAGCAATTAAAACAGCATTAAAAAGAAAATTCACATGAATGCTCTCAGAAAGCTTTGTTGTTTTTTGAAAATCAAAATCAATAGAACTCAGGAAGATAGGTTATTAAACCAATCAACATATTTGAGGAGCCTCTTGATTTAATTTAGTTTGGAAGATTGTAAGGGATCTAAATGTTGGAATCAATGATTGAAGTCATTGTTAAATATTATATGATCGTGATACGTACAATGCATTGTGTTGCGGTAATGTTTTTTAAATACTTTTCCTGTTATGTAATAAAAAGTTGGTGGTGCTATTGACCCCTTGGGGAACCGTTAGTGACAGTGACCTCGTTTTACTCTCCCCTTTTTCAGCACTGACCTTCCATGAGTCAAGACAGTGTAATCTCTTGTGTAATCTTTGTTCCTTTGTTATATAACCAGTTACGTGAATCTAATCAGTTTTTACTCATCTCCAAAAAGCAACATCCAGTCTAATACTAAAGGGATCTAAAACTCAATGGAGTTAAAATCAAATGCATATACCAATTCTGAAAATTATATAATAAAAGCAAAACCATACCAAGAACTCATTGGCTTGGTATGGTTAAGATGCTTAACATCAGACCAGATCTAAGTGTGACAGTTGTTTTCAAAGCAATGCTATTAAAGCCCACTGGACCAACTTAAAATGAATTCTCCAATATATTAAAGACAATACAGGTCTTTGTCTAACATATCAAAAGATTGCCTATCTAGTATTTGTTGGATATACAGATGCAGAATGTACTGAAGACAATGACAGAAAATCAACTAGTTACTTGTTTGAAATATTTGAATCAGTGATATGCTGGGTTAAAAAGAACAAAGAAACAAACAACAATTGCTTTATTCTCAACAGAGACATAATATGTTGCACAAGCTAGTGCTGCAGGCACTAGCTATTTGGACTAAGAATTTGCTGAAAGACCTTGTGATTAAAAGTAATGAGCCATCAGCATTTTGAGGTTATGTATTCATTCATTGAAAAAGTGAGAACATTACTGTCTAAAGCATATAAATCTAAAATATACTTCTGTAGAGATTTAAACAACAAAGGTATAATTGATGTAAAATACTTATTGCTGAAAGAACAAATGGCAGATATTTTAAGAAAGACATTAAACAAGAATCAATTCATTAAACTGCAAGATTTGTTTCGGGTTGCATCAGTTTTGAATTATATTACATTACAGATGAAGTGTTCTACTTTTCAAAACATGTTATAAATTATTAAATTGAAAGGAAATATTAATAGATGACTAATTTAACGTTTTTAAGTTTGAAATTTCTGTTTGCATCTGCTGGCAATACTTACTCTTTTCTTTGTCCTATAAGACCCATTAAGGTGGAAAGTTTGCTAAGTTTATATATTAACATTCTAATAAAGCCTTTACTTTAATTTTTATTAATATTTGCATATAGTTGTGTTAATCAATCTTAACAGTTATGCTAATTATAAAAAATGGCAGTAAAAATCTTTGACAAATAAAGAATAAAAATGCAGGACATAAATATACTTTTTAAAATATAATATTGGAAACTAAATACAAAAACAAAAGTTTAAGGTCTTCTAAACATCCATTCATAATTACCTGAACACAATCAACACCAACAGAATTGGCCTTTCTTTATAGGTTACTTCTCTGCCAATATTTATGCAAGTTGTTTAAAAGTTCTTGTGATTCAAAGTTTAGTCTCCAATATTGTATTTAAAAAAATATATATTTATGTTCTGGTTTTACAACGTTTTTGTTTTACAAAATATAAAAATATCTGAAGTCATGGGAAATTTTAAACATTTTGCATAAATATAGAATGAGAAGTTGTCTGTAAAGAAGTGTTGACTGCACCGATGTTGATTGGGTTCTGGTGAGTGCAAATGGACATTCAGAAGACTGCAAAAATTTTGTTTTCATATTTAGTCTTCAATATTGTATTTTTAAGAAAAAAATAAAAATTAATTTTCCAATATATATAATGGTGAAATTTAAATATTTATTTAAAAATGCCTTAATAAAATATGATACATATCATGAATACCTGCAGCTAAAGGTTTTGGGAAATCTGCTCCTGGACAACCTTTAAAATCTGGACCAATTGCTATTGTAGTTCCATCTGGACAGCAACCATGTGGAAAAGTTGAACAAGGACATCCTTCATAATTAGGACCTTCTGCAATGGTAAGATCATCAGGACAACAACCATAAGAAAAAGATGAACATGAGCACCCCTTATAATTAGGACCTTCAGCAATGGTAACACCATCGGGGCAGCATCCATGCTGCATTGAATGACATGTACAGCCAGCATAATTACTTCCAACAGACACTGTGCGATTATCAGGGCAACATCCAAACGGAAAAGTAGAACAATGGCATCCAGCAAAATTTAATCCTTTGGCTGGAGTTTTATCATCTGGGCAACATTTGAAAGGAAGACTATCACAAGTACATCCCTCATCACCTGGACCAGTAGCTGGAGTAAAACCATCAGGACAACAGCCAAATTTCATTGTATGGCAAGAACAACCCATAAAATTAGGACCCAATGCAGAGGTTTTGCCATCAGGACAACACCCATGAGGGAAGGTAGAACAAGAACATCCAGCACTGTTAGGTCCTTTAGCAGGAGTTTTTTTATCTGGACAACAACCATAGGTAGTATTTTCACAAGAACAACCAGCATTATTAGGACCTGTTGCAGCTGTTACACCATCAGGGCAACATCCAAATTTCATAGAAATGCATGGACATCCAGCATATTTATTGCTGGTTGCAGGTGTTTTTCCATCAGGACAACATCCAAATTCAGTAGTATTGCAAGGACAACCATCATAATTTTCACCTTTTGCAGGAGTCCTTTTATCTTGACAACATCCAAATGGGAGAGTATCACAAGGACAACCATAGTAATTTTCTCCAGCAGCTGAAGTACTTCCGTCTGGACAACAACCATATTTTGATTCTTGGCAACTACATCCTTCTCCCCAAGGACTAGTCATTGGTGTAATACCATCAGGACAACATTTATATAACATTTCTTCACAATTACATCCCTGAAAATCTGGTCCAGATGCCATAGTATAATCATCCTGACAACATCCATAGACTGATATTTCACAATAACATCCAGACTGGCTAAAAAAATTATAAAATTAGTATTATGTATAGCTTTATATATAAATTATATAAATTTTTTCAAAAATTGAAATTTAACATTTAAAATTAAATTCATATTCAAAAAAGTTGAATAATTATATTAAATAATATTGATATATTATTATATAGATTCATACAAAGGAAAAGTAAGTTATAAACTAACAAGCTAAATTTGTTAGGAATATTCAGATTAGAATCATTTCTATCTATTGAAATTTAAAAGCTGAATAATATAGCAAAATAACCAAACCTGAATTTTTACTCATAGATCAACTATTATTATGCTAATCTATAATTCATTTATTAATAAATTTGACACTAAAAGCAGATAAAATCACTACCATATAAAAACTTTAAAAATTAAAATTTTAATTTTTTTAATTAATTAATTAATTTAAAAATTGTCTTGTTTGTCCCTGTATCTGAGCACTGTTAGCAATAACTGTAAGCAATGTTCCTTTAAATTTTTTGTATAGCTAAGTGGTGCCAAAATGTATCAAAGCAAAATATTTTCAGAAAACATTAAATATGTGCAATATTTTTACATTGTTTTAATTATAACAAGGAATGTACATAATAATAAAAAAATGTTAACTAACTGTAAAATATAAATACAGTACTATGTTATTTATATTTTTAAATTTTTCATTTCTGTTCTTTGTAGAAGGTCATATGTTTTAATCATCATTTATATTTATATTTGTGCACCATTAGCTAAATGCAATTTGCATTTAGCTAATGCAATAAATTCTTACAGTGCATACATTGGTTATTAATACTGGTTGCATTGGTTTATTTTCTATGGATATGCATGGTCATCTGATCAAGGAAATGATAACTAACAAGCTGGACTCTGTTCCATGTCAACCTTGGTGACTGAGAGTCGATCTTCCATTTGATTTTGTGGAGTAGTAGGAGTTGATCGTATGAAGTGGAGTATGTTCACATCGTCTTCCGTCCAGTCACCTGTTGCCTTTCTTCTACATCCTATTTTTTTTTTACTTTCTCCAGGAACAAAAATGACTTACTTTATCATTTGGTAGAATAACTCGCTCGTTGTCTTGATCAAGAATTAACTTTTCTTGCTCCAAAAGTGTTTTTCCAATCATTCCTTCGTAGGGAATGATACTATTCAATCAGACAATTTTACACGAAGTGGAAAATTTGTATCCACATAACTTGAATGTAGGCACTGTCATGCCTATGGTTTGGATTGCTTCTCCATTGGTCTTCCTTATCTTCTGTTTTGTTCCAAATTTAACTGGCACCTTTCCTTTGAGCTGATTGGCAATTTCATTAGACACTAACATGTCACTGAGCTCTGGATCTATGGCGAATTTGATGGAATGTTATTGATGTAGCACAGAACTACTGGGTTAAGCCTTGTTCGCGTTGTCGTAGTCCGAATAGTCCCTCTCCATCTCACCCCATCCTCGGAGGAGGAATCCGTTTCATCATTGTCTATGCACTGGATCTGCACAGGTGGTCTATTTTGTCATTGGTGAGGGTATGTAGTTGGACAATAATCACTTCTTCTATATAGCTGGTCTTTTCTAGGCGAGGATGACTTGCTTGATAATTTATCCAATCGAGTTCAAAGTTATTTGATAGCGGTGGTTAATGTTTCCCAATCATCGGATGACCTCACTGTAGCTGGTTTGACTTCTCTTATGTGTCTGATAGTAGCATGGGGGTGCTGTCAGACTCTCTTAGTTTCTTCACTTATGGCTACTTTGAGCACGTCATTGAACGATGCAGGTTCTCGCGACATGACTTGCTGTCGAATTTTCAGATCTATGCCATTTCGAAACTGAGCCTTCAAGCATTCATCTAACTCTGGCTTGTATGCGCTTGATCATTGTGGTTTCTGCCGTGTCTGTTCCTTCTTGGGGATTTCAATTTCGGTGGCTAGTGCCTGGACTCTAACGGCAAAGGTCTGGACATCCTCTCCTTTCTCATGTATACAAGCATAAAACTTGTTCAGATGAATCAGAAAAGGTTTTTTTCAAAGTGTTCAGTCAGGATTTTCCTAAATTCATCGGCATTTCCTCCGCTTTAATGTGCCGGTCCTTTCTAACGAACTCCCTAGCTATGTCTGTAAGTCTCAGCTTAGCAACTGCCAGCATTTGTGCTTTCATCCAAGCTCCTAACTTTGCTATATCCGCCAAGGATTCGAAAAACGTGCCTATGTGAGGACCCTCTGGTTGGTCCGTAAACACAGGCAACAAGGAGACTAAACCACTCAGTCCTCCAAGTGTAGCATGCAGATTTTTGCCTTCCATTCTAAACTCAATGTTAGCCTCTTTTTAGGGCCACTTGTACTGAACAGAAATCTGGTTTCAGTGGACAAAACCTGCCTAAGCTGAACCTGTTTTTGGCGGACAAACCTATCGAAAGCCTGGTGGGCGGCTTCACCCCACTTCTGACACCAGTGTGAGATAAGCCGGGGGCGCCCTAATAACCACTTAATTGGCACAGGTTGTTAAAACCCGTCGTCAGATGGCTAAACTTGTTAGGAGGGCAAGTTAATGAGTGGGGAGTGCATTGGGTAAGCCAATAGATGTCTGTTTTCCGAAAAAGACAGGTTGACAGGTTAACATAACAAATCAAACATTTATTATATAACTAACTAGTAAATACAAGAGGTTACAATAGGTTGGATACATCTATGGCTAAATGAGGGTAAGATAAGTGCGCTTAGGGGCGATTATACAGTCTAACCTTTCTCCAAAGGTTGAATCTAACCATTAGGCCTATGTTTGGAGAGAGAGAGTTCACTGTTCTAAAATAATTACCTCTAGGTGATAATGGTGAGCTACATGAGGCGATTGAGTTCTATGTGTCTTCTTCTTTGTTGAAGTTGGTGAAGCCTAAAATGGCACATCTACCAAATGTAACTTCCAAGTGATTGCTTCGAGTTTCCGGTGTTTCACTCTTTTATACAATTGTCATGGGAAAGGCGTCACGTGATCGTCCCTTGTTGATGATGACTTGCAGTCTTTGACATCTAAGTGTCAACTTTCCCATCGACGTGTTGATACAACCGGTGACCTCCAGTCTAATTCCCCGTTTTTTTTCTATTGATGATTGTTTACATTTTGTAAAAACCGATTAACATTGATTTTAAAAATTTTCCTTAAAAATCTGTGGTCTCACAGTTAGTCCTTTACCTTATTTGGATGGTGATCTTTTTCCTTCTTGACATATTTTCTCAATACAAATGGATGCCCTTTTCAATCCAAAATTTCTTCAATTCCCAGATGACTGGTTTACTTGTACCTCTATCATCCCAGTTCTCGCAACCTGCAGTGTCCTCCGGTCACTCATGTACAAAAAATCTCACAAACAAAAAAAAGTCCCTTTGTGTGGTTTTCCCTTGTTTTTTATACTGCCCACCAATGGATGGATGTCACTCTGTCCCACATGACTGCACCTTGGGCCAATCACTACATCACACACTTTGCCAGCAGAGAAATGGTGGTACCAAGAAAGGAAACGAAGAGAGATCTGCACAAAAACAGACACGTGACAAATAGAAAGCAAACAAAATAAAAATAAAAAGAGGGAAAAAATAATATACACAAATAGCTGTGAAGTGCTACAATATTAACATATTAATACTGTATATAAATAAAAATTATAATATTGGCTTGAAATGTGTTCAAAGTGCATTCCAATCTGTTATATTTTTAGATGATAAGTTAACCAATTAAAATTTCATGTTATTAAAGTCAAGAAGGATAGGACTAAATCTTGGAATAGATTAATTTAATTAATGAGGGAAGGAAATGAATTTTAAGAAAAAAATAAAAATAATGGAAAAGAATGAACTTAGCCTAAATAAAATTTAATATATATACCATATTTACTTGCATATAAAAGGAGGTTTTTATTCATTTATCACAGTTTCAAATTCCTAGGTTGTCCTATATGTGCGAGCAAAAATTCTTTGTGTTGCTGCAAATAATTTTTGTGAACTGTATATTCACATTTTTTACCAGATGCTTACCCTCGTATTTAAAAACAAGTATTTTATCTGGGTCATTTGAATCGTCCTTGTATATTGTCAGGAGTAAAGATGAATAACAATAGGAAAAGCAAAGCTTTTGAATTGAATTCCAAATTGAAATTCCAAAATCACATGAAAGCCTGATATAAGTTTTAATTCATTCTCACGTGAAAACAGATAATTATTTGGAAATCAGAATTCAGAGAAACTCATAAATGTAATCAACAGAGAGTGGATTTGACTGTTAAGAATTGACAAAAAAAGGTTCCCAATTATTCAGCTTCACATGAACAAATTATGTTATTGATTTTACAAGATTTTTCCTTAAAATTTAAAATGCCAGTAATTTTTGCAGGACAATGTGTACATTTACATTCATTTAATATTTTACTTGTGATTAAACAAAATAAAATTAGAATGTATTAATATATCTAATTTTCTTTATTTTGATCCTTAAAGTCACACCTCGTCCTATATGCAAGGTCGTCCTATATGCGAGTAAATATGGCATATATACATTTATAATAAAAATATTCATGATTTGTTGTGTAGCTGAGAACAAAGAATTGAATCTAAGGAATTGCTTGGCATTGATAAAAATTAAACTTTTAATATTTACAATTAATAACAATTCTTTCCAAAGAAATAATGTATAAAACTTACACCTATGAATATACAAATATCTGGGACCGAAATTGACAATAAAACCAAACACGTCCCATGTGCTGACAAACAAAAGAACTTAATCTAACTTATTTCTAACTTAATTCTACCTTAACTAAAATACAACATAAGGGCCCTGGATTAAGATGGAGTAGTTGGAAGAAATCAGAAGATCTGATTAAGATAGTAGAAAAAAAAAAAGAGGAAATGACTAGCAAAAATAAACCTTGAGTCTCCATTCTTCAAGAGGGGCTTTCTTTCCGTTCCTCATCGGCACACACTTCCTCTTCTCCCAAGTGCCTTCCTCGAAAAGATGATGGTCTCATGGTGCTTCCCCTATCTCTCCTTTCTTGCCAGTCTTTTCTGACCAATCCAGTACTACCCCTGTTATTTTAGAAACACATCAGACCATTGGACCAACCAATAAAGGTGAGGCCAGATGAACAAAAGTCGGAAGTAAAGTTTTTGAATGAAAGTGGGGAAAGATAAAAAAACAAGGCTTAACAAAGCCACAGTTTTAAGAAACCACAGTCACCAGAATGGGAAATGAGGTCAAAATTTGCAAAATATTAGGCTGTGTGATTTGTGAAAGTTTCCTTTAGTGTAATTCATTAATAAAATTTGATTTCTCGATAGCTTATCACAAGCTCACTTAAAGAGTTTTACAGTTTTGGTTATTTTATCCAAAAATATTATTCTTGGATAACATAACCATATCAATAGGATAGAACTTTCAGTGATTAATTGTTATTGAGGAATGCAGACATTATGCTATAGTGAAATTGATTGTTTATTAACTCTAAATAACAAAGATAGATTAATAAATAACCAGCTGGGGCAATATTCCATGCTACTGCTTTTGGCTAGCTACTTATTGATCCACCCTTATATACACATCTCAAGAGTGGCTTGCCTAGAAGTTTTGTAATAGTAATAGTAATAATAAATGGTAATAGGCACACAGCAGACGTAAATTCAAATTCAATTAGAAGTAGATAACTCAACTATAATTAATGTCAAATTCATTAATAAATAAATTTCAAATTAATTAAAAAATAGCTTACTTACAAAAGTAAAGTAGTAGATATTATATCACTTTGAATCAGTTTTTAACATCACAAATATTGTTTATCTAACACAATGTAGAATAAAGGTGAAAGAAAGCCAAGTGATCGTTAAGTTGCACTACATTGTGTTGGATAAACAAGAGAAATAGAACATGGCATGGTTTCAAATTGATAATCACAAATATTGTGCTTGGTATTACAATTAAATTATGATTTCATTTTATTACAATACAATGAACTGTAAATGTATACACAACATATTTATAATATCAAATCATTCTAAAGTAAAATATATGACATCTTTCATGAATTTAATGCATACAAAATGATAAATATTTTATATTCTTTTGTGACTTACTGCCTTAGTATTAGTGACACCCCAGTCTGGTCTAAGTGGAAGGATGAGTAATGTCGAAAGAAGAAAAAAATGCTGGGGATGTGAAAGCAGACAGAAGTGTGCACAGGAGGCTCTGGGAAAAAGAAGAACTGGAGGGTAAAAAGCCCATGTAGTGAGAAAGATAAGGAGAGTATTGTAAACTGTGGACTGAGAAGACATCAAATTTAGGAGACTTCAGGATTGTGAGCAGCAAGTGAGAAGGGATTACCGAAGACTGCTGGAAATTATATAATGTCAACATTGATGTAAGATTGACTATTTTATGATTTTTGTGTATGTAACAAACTATTGTTCCAATTCCATACATAAAGTTAGTGTGTTAATTATGTCCTTGTCTTATTGTGCCCGAGGAGAATGGATCCTGATAGATGCATTACACCTACCATTCAGTTCTTCCATCCTATTTCTTAGCTGTAGTCATCTTCTGCCTACATGTATACTTCTATATTCACCTATTTATAATGAATTTGTTCTTTCCTCCCCGACACTTTATTTTTATAAAGAATATAAAGGTAGTTAAGATATTTGGATAATATGGTGTCAGCCTACTACTAAACATATAATATAGTAGTTCATACTGTCTTAGAAACTGCACTTGTAATAACACTATTGTGAAAGGATGGGAAACACGTGACAATAATACAATGCAAATAACAGTCAATCATGTTTTATTGATCGAAATGAGGGAACAGAGGTCGGACTGCCTGTTACAAAGAACAAAATTATATACAGTAGAACATCAATTATCCAAATACCGATCAACTGAAACATTGGTTAACTGAAAGCATTCCAGTCAGCAAATTCAAATTTCCGCTAGGGCTATGGCATTGCAGCACTCTTCCCCTCCCTGCCAAACTGAACTGTAGGCCTAGTTTAATGTATTACATTATGTAAGGTATGTATTTGTAAGATATGTGATACAAATTATATACAGTACAGTTTTGTGTTTAATATATTTTTTTGTAAATGATCAGTTATCTGAACAACCCGTCCCGAATTGTTTCAGATAATTGATGCTCTACTGTATATGTACTAAGTCCCTGTTCTTGATTGAACTTCCCATGACAATTGATTTATAAACAATTCAGCTTAAAACTAAGACAATGAGAATTCAACTTAAACCTAATACTATAACTACTTACAACTAGAAAAAAAAAGAAAGGATGAAGGATGGTCTACTGGTAGCTTAGATCGGTGGGTCCTTATACTGGGGTAATGTTGACTATGGTCACTTCGTGCATGGTGAATATCCAATCTGTTCACATCCAGGGTAATAACAACTAGTTACCATTAAATATGTGCTGAGGCAAGTCCTTGAGCATGTACAGAAAGACTCGCTTACTTAGTTCCAAGTCACCTTCTGCACATGGTCTATACTCACCCTCTCTCCCTTCTATCTTCCTAGGCCTGACTCCTTGTAGCTTGTAACTTGGTCTCCCTCACCTGACCTCCTATCTTGTCAGTGGCAAACCCAAAAGTGACTCTCGTCCACTCCTGGGGAAAGTGTCCAGTTTCCCCAGGTCCCCTTTAGACAGGACTCCTTCCTTTCCCTTTGTACACTGGCCCAATCAGGACCCACAAACAGTAAATCTCCTGTCATGTGGCAGGAAAGCATTAAAAACAGAAGGAAGAAGAATTACAGGAAAAAAAAAGGAGTGCCTACTCTGTATACAATTATACAAAACAAATATGATGGACAGCCACACTATCATCATTACAATTACTAAATACAGTAAAAAATATTCTCCGATGGAGAATAATTAAAATTTTTACTGCATTTAATGGTTATAATGATGATAATATTAGAATAGTTCATGCATTGTAGGTATCAAATTCCTTCAGTGCCTGTTTCCCTATAACTCCAAATCCCACTCAACTCTGTTTCATAGTACAGATGGTCCTAAAAATAATGAATAGAACAAGCTGTTACCCTAACCCATTCCTTCTTACATTCAAAAAGTTCAGTTGCAGCTATACTTGTACACTTCAATGTATAAAAGAATAGTAAGTTTCCCATTAACTTTTAATATCTTTTCAAATAAATATCATGGAATTTTTGATAACCAAATGACAACATACAATTAAAGTTAATAATGAGCAAATAAACTTACTTTGGGCCAAGAGCAGGTGTAATATTATCAGCACAGCAACCATATTCTAATGTTGAACAAGGACAACCAACATTATCAGGTCCTAAAGCTTCTGATTTATTATCAGGACAACAACCAAATTCAGAGTAATAACAAGGATTTAAACTTGAATCATCAGATAATATAGGATCTGATAAACTTGGTTCACAGCTTTCATTTCTTAAAGCAAAAGTCACATTAACACAAGTTTCTGTAGCATTTTCTTTTGTCGCATTGTCACAGCCCTCATGATCAGGTCCCATTGCAAAAGTCACATTATCTGGACAACACCCGAATTCAGATGTATCACACATTTCTGTCATATTCTCACAGCCCTCATGATCAAGTCCCATTGCAAAAGTAATATTATCTGGACAACATCCAAATTCAGACGTATCGCATGTCTCTGTTACATTTTCTTTTGTCACATTGTCACAGCCCTCATGATCAGGCCCCATCGCAAAAGTCACATTGTCAGGACAGCATCCAAATTCAGACGTATCACATGTTTCTGTCACATTTTCTTTTGTTACATTGTCACAGCCCTCATGGTCAGGTCCCATCGCAAAAGTCACATTGTCAGGACAGCATCCAAATTCAGACATATCACATGTTTCTGTCACGTTTTCTTTTGTCACATTCTCACAGCCCTCATGATCAGGTCCCATTGCAAAAGTCACATTATCTGGACAACATCCAAATTCAGACATATCACATGTTTCTGTCATATTTTCTTTTGTCACATTGTCACAGCCCTCATGATCAGGTCCCATCGCAAAAGTCACATTATCTGGACAACATCCAAATTCAGACATATCACATGTTTCTGTTACGTTTTCTTTTGTCACATTGTCACAGCCCTCATAATCAGGTCCCATTGCAAAAGTCACATTATCTGGACAGCATCCAAATTCAGACATATCACATGTTTCTGTCACATTTTCTTTGGTTACATTGTCACAGCCCTCATGATCAGGTCCCATTGCAAAAGTCACATTGTCTGGACAGCATCCAAAGTCAGACGTGTCACATGTTTCTGTTACGTTTTCTTTTGTCACATTGTCACAGCCCTCATAATCAGGTCCCATTGCAAAAGTCACATTATCTGGACAGCATCCAAATTCAGACATATCACATGTTTCTGTCACATTTTCTTTGGTTACATTGTCACAGCCCTCATGATCAGGTCCCATTGCAAAAGTCACATTGTCTGGACAGCATCCAAAGTCAGACGTGTCACATGTTTCTGTTACGTTTTCTTTTGTCACATTGTCACAGCCCTCATAATCAGGTCCCATTGCAAAAGTCACATTATCTGGACAGCATCCAAATTCAGACATATCACATGTTTCTGTCACATTTTCTTTGGTTACATTGTCACAGCCCTCATGATCAGGTCCCATTGCAAAAGTCACATTGTCTGGACAGCATCCAAAGTCAGACGTGTCACATGTTTCTGTTACGTTTTCTTTTGTCACATTGTCACAGCCCTCATAATCAGGTCCCATTGCAAAAGTCACATTATCTGGACAGCATCCAAATTCAGACATATCACATGTTTCTGTCACATTTTCTTTGGTTACATTGTCACAGCCCTCATGATCAGGTCCCATTGCAAAAGTCACATTGTCTGGACAGCATCCAAAGTCAGACGTGTCACATGTTTCTGTTACGTTTTCTTTTGTCACATTGTCACAGCCCTCATAATCAGGTCCCATTGCAAAAGTCACATTATCTGGACAGCATCCAAAGTCAGACGTGTCACATGGTTCTGTCACATTGTCACAGCCTTCTTGGTTTGGTCCAGTTGCAACTGTTATATTATCTGGACAGCATTTAAATGGTGTCAATTCACATTCTCTTACATCAGGACATCCTTGGAAGTTTGGACCTTTTGCTATTGTATGGCCATCTGAACAGCATCCATATTTTGTTTCATTGCATGTAGTGATATCTGGACATCCTACACTGTCAAATAAAAAAAGTCAATATATTTTAATAATGTGTATATGGAAGTAAAATTTTTAAAAATTCATTAATTTTAATAAAAATAAAATTTTATAGACCATTATTATTTTATATCATTATATTCGTAATATAATGCAGAAGAAAACAGTACGCAAAAGTTTATGAAAACAGTTTTGTTATATGAAAAATCTGGAAAGAGCTTTTGCACACTTTTTCCAACACTCATAATTTACAAAATTAAAATTGTGTATGGCCTCATCTGTTATAAGATTTTATTAAAAATAATTTTTATATTACTAATTATTATAAAAAAGCAAAAGGCTTATTTTAGAGGGTAGAAGTAAGTTTTAAAATAATTGCGAATGCCAATAAGAGTAAAATTTCCATTAAGTCTGACCTCACTTAACATATGACACATGACTTTCCTCTCTCACCATACCCATTAACCTTTAATCACCAAAATTTAATAGCATCAATGCACCATATATAGAAATAATCCTGTAAAGTTTCAAAAGTTTGATTCTTCTAGACCTGAGATATAATGCAAAATAGATTCCAATGCAACACACACAGAATTTTATAAGGATATTTTTTTAGCTTCTGGAGTGTTAAAACATTGAGAAATGCCAAAAAAAGGAGGCAAAATTAGACTGATTACATTATTTTCCCTATGTTACACTTTATTCTGTAACAGCCTGAAAAGTAATTGAGCTGCAATTTGAAAAAACTGTAGACCTATAAATTCCCACTATCATACATCTGTCTATCTGCCTGTCCTTAATCTCAAGAATGGTGTTAGATAGATGAAAGTCAAAATTGTATATGGAAAGCTTAGGGGCAGGAAGCTCTGATTAACTATATAAGAACTTTTGGTCTAGATCAGAAGTCATGTGATTTCAATTCAAAAATTTTTTCCCTGAATAGAGTTACATAGATGACGGTCATGACTGTTGTTATCAGGAAAAGTATGATGTACAGGGGAAGACACTACTAAGTTGAGATGGGGAACATATTTTAAATCAAATAAAAAATTAAAAATAAGATTAAAAATTGCAGCCCAGTATTGTGACAATGTCACAATAAATAATTGCTTGTATAGTTTTAAATATATGATTGAATATAAAAAGAAACTAGTGATATAAACATTTTTGAAATATTACAATATTTAAAATTGCATGTAAATCTTTTCTACTTATAAAATTCTAATTTTACTCTGATTTCTTCGTAACATAGAAAATAATAAAGAAATATTTGCTTTATGTATGATACATTTCATGTCAAACTCAAATTTCTGCTTAAGAAATAAATCTTCTGGTAACATATAGCATTAGATTGTGTATTAGTAAGAAATTGATATTAATATAATTTTGTTTTAATCAGAAGTGCAGTATACAATAATATTATTAATTATCTTGCCAACTTAATGGTAAATGACATTATATTACAGTAGTATTTACCATTAAGTTCATTACTATTCAACACCTGCCTAAATGACAATTGAACTATATAAACTAACTATGAAAAGTATAGTTATACTTAGCGTGGCAGGCCATTTGATGGAGTCAATCACATGATAGGTACAGCCAGTCACCTATGATTGGTGAACTTTTTGTGATTCATTGTGCACATTTCTTGAACCCTCTCTTTTTCCTCCTCAATGTGAGGCAAGTAACATATATGTGTTCTTACTCCTGTGTTCTTATGTTGAACAATAAAACTTTGTTATTGTTTGTATCTTATGTGAATTCCTTGGATGACATTGTTAGTGGTCTCAGATACACGTACTGCTACACTTGTGAGCTGGATGAATTAAGAAGATGAATCAAATAGACTATTCTAGACATCCATAGGAATGACCAAGAAATGAACAAGTTGGAGGACATGTGATGAGAGACACTAACGACCATTCATATTGCCACACAAAGAGACTGGTAGGATTAATCTTCCTCTTTTCTCACTGTTTATTTTAAAAACAATGAAAGAAAAACCTCTTCCACCAGAACTATATTGAAATGATGCTAGATAATGCCTCAGTAGTTGGTCACGTTAGACTAAAACTATCGCTGTTTTGGAACAAGCACCAGTGCCCACGGTTCACCAACATTGAGGTGCAAAAACTTAGTAGCATTAATAGGGAAAAGTAAGAAGAAAGAAAGAATTTTGAAAGGACTCAGTAGAACTGGTGACTATCACCTATTTTATTCAACATTTATATAGAAGCTATATAGGAATATAAGACAACTAACAATAATGGTGTAAAGATAAAATCTTCAACACAATATGTTTTGCATATAACAGATCTGGTTTCAAAATATGAACCATTGTAATAATGAATAACTATGATTTATTACCATGATTCATTATTCAATCATTATTCATTACCAAGAATAATGAATCATTAAGGTCTCTTAATGTCTCCTGTAGCTCTTCTACAGGAGACATTAAGAGACCTTAATGATGATAAGAGACCTTAAAGGCTAAATGCAACCTGAAAATAAATCATACAAAACAAAAATTTAAGAATAAATGAAAGACATTCTAAAATAACATTGGAGGAAAAAGAATTAGACAGCGTGGAGAACATCTGTTACCTGGGGAAGCCTCATAACATTTGATGGAAGATATGAAAAAGATGTGACATTAAGAATTGGACAGGGAAAAGAAGCGTTCTACAGAATGAAATGAATGCTAACATCACAGGACATCTCTAGATGTGAGTAAAAATCTCATTAAAAGTTATGTTTGGGAAGTGACCTTGTATGGTTCTAAAATATGGACATTGAGGGAAAAAGAGAGGTCAAAACTATAGGCCTTTGAAATGTGATGCTGGAGGAGCATGCAGAAGATAGTTTGGACTGAAAAATTGTTTAATGATCAGATTTTAGAGAGAGCAAGAGAAACTAGAAGCATTCTTAACACTAAATAAACAAAGAAACAACATGGCAGGACATCTATTAAGACATTCAGAATGGATGAAAATATTATTTGAAAGAATGATGGAGAAAAAAGTAGTAAGAGGACAACTAAGAAGGGATACTGGTATATAGTGAAAGACAGAACATATTACAGCAAGATTAACCAATTGACAGTGGAAGTGAAACTTGATGCTGGCCACCAACCCCTGGGTTGAGGAGAGAAGAGAGAATGTATCCATTCCATTTTCCAATTTATATCTCATAATCATGTGTTGATAAAGCTATTTTGTTTATTTTTACAGAATATATTAAATGTTTACTACTACTGATTAGATTCATAGTTCTATATTCTTTTTTATTGACTAAACAATTTTTATAATCATCAAAAGATATTCTATTTTTTATGACATATTTTTTTAACACCTTTTGATTTCTTTATTATGCGATTCTCTACTTTTAATGCAAACATATTTGCTCCCAATCCTACAAATTTTGTCATTATTTTTCCATTGTTTTCATTTTACCAAGTACTTCTTTGTTTACTCTCATGAGAATCTGATGTGTCAAAATAATCAATCATATCTTTAAGCCAGTCATTTGTTTTAATATCCTAGATGTAACTGTCCACATCTTGATAAAAATAATTTGATTTTATCTCCTTATTTTGGTTTCATAATATCATAATAAAATTCATACATTAAATTCTTTGATAATTCTAATATACTCATACTATGTAATGTTGAAATATATCAACATGTATTTCAACAGCAAACAAAAAACATCTGAGATGTAAAAAAATTTTGGCAAGTAAAAATTTATGACAATTTATATAACAGTCAAAATTTTTCTTAGCAGTTTTTCTTTGGTAAAGATAAACTTGATGCTTGGAGGCAGTCTAGAAAACAATAGTACAGGTAAAAATCTTGTGAGTACCACTTCCAAGCACCAAGCTTGGAAGCAGTACCCACAAGATTTTGCACCCATATTTGAACATAAATTTGTTTTTCTCTTTGGAGAAAGACAAATTTATGTTCAAATGTGCTGCTGGATGAAGAAAAGAGTGCTCATAAACTGAAATGCCCAAACTAAAACTAGATATCTTGTCATTCTAATGGATACCTAAACAATTTCAAAGAAGAGTGACAAGAAAAAAGTCTTTGAGATGTGATTGCTGAGAAGAATGTAAAAAGTTCCTTGCACAAAAGAGAAAAAGATTGGAAAAATATTAGAGATGTGTGTCGAAAGATTTATTGTTGGGTTATGTTAAAAAAAAACTGTATTTTTTTGTGTTTCCTTCATATATTATTATTTATCCTTTTTAAATTTTGTTTGTTACTCGACTAAATACGTGATGCAAATTATTATCTGTACTTTTACCCACGATGTCTACATTCTTCTTTTGTTGTATTTTGCATGACTTTGGGCAGTTTTTGTATGGCAGCTCTTTTTTTTTTTTTTTTTTTTTTGCAATCCGTTAACATCGAAGAAACTGTCAATGAGAGACAACCTTTGTCACTGTGGATAGGATTTGTCTCTGCTTCGCATTCCCAAAGTGTGAATATTTTTGGTATTCAGTGGACCATTCCCCTTGTTCTTCATCTGCCTAATCTTTGTGAGCTGTGACATGCTAACACTTGTAAATTTTGTGAATATACTGTATATAAGAATTGTGAATGTAAAATTAGTTTCTAGTGTCTCTTGGTGTGATTGTACTCATGGTAAATCGTTCTCTGTCACTCTCCTGCAAGTTTCAGCATTACAGACACTTGCAGATCCCACAGATGGCAAAAGAAAAAAAGAAAATAATGAGAAGAAAGGTTGTTTTTTCTTTAGATTATCAGACAAATTTCTAGAAGTGATTTTTAAACAAAAAAATCCAAGAGGAAGGAAAGAAAACGCTAGATATAAAACATTACAAAATGGATTCTTCTAACTATTGAAGAGGGTACCAAAGAGGTGCAGTGTTGCTCATGATGGAAACACAAAATAACTGATCTGGAAGAAGTCATTTACAGTAAGAGAGAGAATCTTGTTATTTGGGTATAGTGAACATTTTAAATTATTCAAAATTTAATATTTATACCATTTAAATAACTTTAAAATAAAAGTTATTAACTATATAATATTTATTATTCTTGATAAAAACAAATTATACCCAAATGGTCCAGAAGCTGCTGTGAAGCCATCTAAACAACAACCATAATAACTTTCTTTACAATCTGGCTCTGCTGGACAGTCATCCAAATTAGGTCCAGCAACAGTTTTTCCATCAGGACAACATCCATATTCTGATTCTGAACAGTTTACTGAAGTTTCAGTAGATACAACTAAAGAAAATAAAATATTAGAATTAATTAAAATTAATAAATAAAATAAAAAGAAGAGTATTATAAATTTTTAACTTGATGTATGGGTCTCTAACATAATTTATAATTAATATTAATTATTCTTTAAAATTTTTATAATGAAGCACAGACTGGTTCATTTCACATTTAAAATGTTCTATTAAATTTACAAAATAAAGACATTTATTATTTTTTTATTTTAATTAAAATTGTTTTTTACAGTTCTTTTAAGTTTTACTAGTGATACTACCTAATTACATCATGTTATTTATAAATTTTAATATTTTAAAACCCAATGTATTTACCATCAATACATGACTGTTCATTGCATGTTTCATTATTTGGAGGAATTAAACTTGGATCACATCTACTAGAAAGAACAACACTGTCTTTATGGAAGCATAAAATCTTTCTTGTTCTTATACCTCCTCCACATGTTACTGAACACTTTAAATAAAACATTTTTAGGATTATATTAGTAACATAATTTTAATGTTAAATAATAATACTAATAGTCATATAAAATAATACTTAATATTTTAATTTCATATACAGAAACTTATAAATTAAATCTATATACATATATATAAATGAGGATGTTTCTTTATTTGTTTGTTTGCTATACACTTTGAAGCCGATAGCCCAATTGCCATGAAACTCTGCAGTTATGTTCAAATACTTCTAACTTAAATAATGTCATACATCCCACCCCAAAATATGTATTGAATTTCTATCTACATTTGATTTGCTGATTTACATGTATCATCATCTATTGGCAAAAAATTTAACAAAATAATAAAATAAATATAATTCTTATAAAAAAAAGGATATAATTTTTAAAAATTTGTATTATATTCACTTAATTACTACTAGTGATGTGCCAGATATCTGTATCCGTATTTGTGGATATCCAAGGGAAAAAAAAGATCCATATTCGTATCTGTATCTATTACTTTTTAGCGGATCTTTAACGGATCTTTTATCTTAATGAATTTCATTACTTACATGAAATTTTAAAGATAGGTAGCAATAAAATACTAACAACTTCAATTCAAATCACTTTTTATTTCTTAAAATCACATATCTGGCACATTTACATTGCAAAAATTTTATCATGCAAAATTCATTTACTATCGTAAAATATTTCCATATTACAATACTAAACTTTTTTGCCGACATTGTTTTTATTTTAATTTAACTCAACACTCTCCAAAAATACAAACGTAATCTACGCTATTCCATGTCACACTAAACTATAAACCAGTGTTTCTCAATGGTGGCGATATCGCCCCATGTGGGCAATTTTCCATGTTGAGGGGCGATTAGTAACAATTTATATTTTAGGGGCAAAAAACAATTTTCTGGGAAATATAGTAAAACATTATATTAAGAATAATTAGATATTTTATTTGTTATATCGTACAATAATTAAACAAATAACATTATACTAGTCACTAGTCTATTCAATGCAGTACGAATTTGACATTAGCCTTAGCCCTCGGCATCGGAATTTTGAAGTGAAGGGGGCAATACTATGTAATGGTTTTATTGAAGGGGCGACAATTCGTTACAGGTTGAGAAACACTGCTATAAACAAAAACATGTGCAGTGCAAGTCAAAACACATTGCGTTACTAATGCAAAGCATCAACTATTGGTCCAAAATCACATGCACTGGCGCCGACTGAGTACGAAAGTTGAGATCCGTATCCGTATCTAGATGCTAATGATCTGTATTTGTATCCGTATCCGCGAATATACATTTTTAACGATCCGGCACATCACTAATTACTATAACAATGATATAGTGCAAAATAGACATGCTATATCATTACTGTAACAGATAGCACATAGCACTTGCCTGCATGAAATTGAAAGTGTTACCCTGTAAAAAGTCTATAAGTATTTAATTTTCCACATCTAACAACTTGGGTTTTTTCATTTCTGAAATGGTACCTTCTTAATTCTAATAAGTACCCTGCAGTAGCCAAGCACATAAAACCACTAAACACTGGTAGTTAGTTAGTCATGGGTTTGGGCATGGCTACTGGCTGACCACATGGGAGTTTTCTGGGTTTTCTTCACATTAGTAACACCTAAATATGATCTAGCTTTCCATAAAAGTCTTCCTGGAATGCATCCTTGGCAGATCACTCATGCTATGTTGCCATAACCAAATAAACCAAACTAATTCTAATGAGCAACTATTTATTGTGACATCATCACAATGCCTTGCTGCAACTTTTTGTCACAATGTTCTCAATTGTTTTCGTGATGGTCTTGCCCCTGTACATTATACTTTTCCTGTTAACAATAGAGTCATGTTGGTCATCTATCTAACTCCTTTTGGGGGAAAATTTTGAATAGAAGTAACATGACTTCCATTCTAAACTGGAAATTTGTATATAGTTAATCTGGGCCTCCTGCCTGAAATGTCACATCTGGTTTTGACTTTCATCTATCTAACTCCTTTCTTACGATTAAGGAAAGATAGACAAACAGACATACAGGGGCAACAGTTGGAATTTATAGGTCGACAATTTTTTCAAATTGCAGCCCAAATATTTTTCCATAAATACAATATTTATGAGAATATATTTCCCACATAGTTTATACAATCTGTTGCAAAAATATAAGCACTTTATTATCACATAAACTCAATTATTATCACATTTTTATGAGATTTTTTATTAAAACAAGTTATCTGAAGTTTTTTCGATGTTAAGGTTAGCAACTTCGATCACATGCCGGGCCATCACAACCTATCCAACACAATCACTTTTCAAATATTAATAGTAGACCAGTATTAATTAATAGTCATTGACCATCCTTTCTTCTGGGAGGAGATCAACAGCTACTTTTGGTCAAATTACTTCGACCCCCTTCCACAACAGTTCCTTTTTTTTTTTTTTAATCAAATCAGTGGTGTGGTGGCATTCAAATAGGAAAATTATATAATACAAGGTTATTGGCAGCACAAAATATGTTTTAAGTGATTTTTGAATGGTGCCAGGTTTAAATATTTGGTCAGTGTTTTCCAAAATTTGATTCGTTGGCAGATTACTGTTTGATATTCGGATGTGAATGGTACAATTCCTTAGAGTTAACATTAGTAAAAAATATGATATCTTAAATTTTTTAAGATATCATATTTTCAATTGGTGTCTACTTGACCAATGAAATTATTCCATTTTGCACCATATGAGTATCGTAATAAACATGATAATGGTAGGTTGAAATAATCAAACTCTTTATTTATATTTTTATTGCAAATTATTAAAAGATAATTCAATCGTTATTTTTTTAAATGTTATTTTTATTTAATCATAACATGTTGGTAAATGAGATATTTTAAAACCCAATGTATTTACCATCAATACATGACTGTTCATTGCATGTTTCATTATTTGGAGGAATTAAACTTGGATCACATCTACTAGAAAGAACAACACTGTCTTTATGGAAGCATAAAATCTTTCTTGTTCTTATACCTCCTCCACATGTTACTGAACACTTTAAATAAAACATTTTTAGGATTATATTAGTAACATAATTTTAATGTTAAATAATAATACTAATAGTCATATAAAATAATACTTAATATTTTAATTTCATATACAGAAACTTATAAATTAAATCTATATACATATATATAAATGAGGATGTTTCTTTATTTGTTTGTTTGCTATACACTTTGAAGCCGATAGCCCAATTGCCATGAAACTCTGCAGTTATGTTCAAATACTTCTAACTTAAATAATGTTATACATCCCACNCATATATTGAATAATTTGTAAACTGCATCATTGTATGTATGGAATATTTCATTTTTAAATATATTTTGTAACTTGTTTATGTAAAAAAAACAGCTCTCTCACCTGATGAAAGTGCCTTAAAGTGCATGAAAATGTTTGTGCTTCCATTAAATTTTAATATTCTGGGTAAGTATGAGTAGTATGCAATGTTTTTAATTAACTGTTCCAGCTTTTGTGAGTGTTTACATCTAATACATTAATATTATTTATTTTGATTCAATATTTGTCATTTAAATGTTAATTTGAATTTCTACTAAAGTTTCTTCAATGATAAATACAGATTTTAATATAATTTAATAATTCATCATATATTGAATAATTATTAAAAAGTTAAAAATAAAAAATATTATATTTATTAACTTACTTTGCTCCATGGTCCACTAAACCAAGATCCTTTACATGGAGTCCGAGTACAATTACGAACTGATGTAAATTTTTTTGTTTTCTTACAATTACTATCTGATACTTTTTTCACACTATCGCCTTTCCAAATTCCACAAAATACAAAACGAGTTTGAACACCAGTCCCACATTTAGCTGAACACTATTCAAATAAAATATTTTTTTATAATTTTAACTTAATTTCTTAAATGTCAAATATAAATTTTTGAATATTAAATTTGAACATTGAAATACTTTGTCATGATGGATAAAATATGCATATTTTAGTAATCTTAAATTTTTATGGAAATATTCTGAATTCCTCTGGAATTTACTATATAAGCTACTAAGCAATTAGAAAAATTAGAATGTTGATATCATTGGCAGTAAAGCAATTAGACAAGAAACCTTTATGCATAAAGATTCTGTACAAAAGTAGATATACTATCATTTGTATTGTGATTCAATATACCAGAGTATATCTTGTTATAAAGATGGGAATTTGCTCTGAGGACTTTACAATGAAACAACCCAATTCAGACAGACAATTCTTCCTTCCTTATTTTATTAATTATAATTTTAACAAAAGAATACCTTGATTACTAAATTTCATTTATACAACTATTAATTATAATTTTAACAAAAGAATACCTTGATTACTAAATTTCATTTATACAACTTATAATCTTACCGAATATTGGACTGACATGACTAATTTGGTTTAAAATAGAGCTTACTCATGATGACAAACTAATACACGACAAAATAAGAAGAAAAAAAAACTATACAATTATTTACAAGTTGATACATACAGTAGCTGTATTTCCTGTTACACGTTGTTATGAATATGATTTCTTTGTTAGTTACACATGGTTCTTCTTTCCTTTCTTCCCGTTCCTAATTACTTTTCTTTTCTCTTTATCAAAATTTCTCTTCCAGTCCGATTATGGCTCACAATGCTAGGACAAGTAGAACAACCAAAGAAAAAAGACCTTTTTCACGTGGACGTGCTCACATTTATATCTTCCTTCCATCCAGGTGCTTCGTCTACCCAAGTGGCTTTTTGCATAGCCAATCAACAGCCATGATACAGAACTGCCTACAAGGTGGTACAGGATATGCAACAACAATGGCTATGCGTTACAGCTAAGTCTGATACAAAAACAACGGAACGATCTTATAAAGAAATAAAGAGAATTATATTCACTAGTTGCGGAGCACTACACATTAAGGTTGTTGAAATAATGCATAAATTTAGATAATAAAATTATATGAATGATTATGTAAATGGTTATGACATTAGTTGCTGTATGTAAAAGAAAAATTGAAAAGCTTATCAAGCATGCTGTAACTAGTCAAAGTACTTCAACCACTTATAGCTAATCAGCTGTGAATGACTGTAGTATTTTGGATTTTTTTGTATTGTAAGATACAGTATGCTGAAGTTTAATTGCTGTTGAGTACAAGTTTTTCTGTTTTTGATTTTTTCCCTTAATCAGATTAATGCCATTAAATTATACTAATTATGATTAACATGTTCACTCACAGTAATAACTTAGAGCAGTTTACATTGCAACATCACATGTGCTCTTTCATGAGTATTGTAAAATTTGGTACTTTATAAAATAATTTGACATACTTGAAATATAAAGTAATATAAATTCAAATAACATTTTCTCTCAAAAGAATGCCAACAAGACACTCTTCTTAAAAGACTGCCAAATAATACTCTCCCTCCAAAGAATGCTCTACATTTGCCAAATGATACTATTTAATGTCACTAATTAAATAATAATGATTGATATCATGCATTCAGAATTTTAAAATGTGAAAATATCACAAGATCATTTGTTAACAATTCATATCATTTTTATAATTTAAGATTTTCTTGTAAAAAGGAAATGATTGCAAAAGACTTAACATTTAATATATAATTTCCTACTAACTGACATCAACACACATATTTGAAATCATTTACTGTTAGCAAATGATCTTTTGCTTTATTACAGATTCATATTTTACATTTAAGAAATATGTAAATAAAAATTTAAACAAATTTTTTACCCTACTCCATTCTGAAGTATGCCATAAAGCAGTACATGGTTTTACTTTTGGACAAGGACGTGTTAAACTTGGTATTGGTTTATTATGGCATAATTCATCGGAAAAGACTTCTCCTTTAGAATTTGAACAATAAACTTCTCGTGATTCTTTTTGAGGTCCACATTTATCTGAGCACTATAATGATTTGACAAATACATTAAACATTATTTATTAAGATATAATAAATATTTTTATATATTAAACATAATGAAAAGAATTACACCACTCCATTCTGTTACTATCCATTCAACTCCTTCACAAGGTCTTAGAGAACATATTTTCACAATTGGTGGCATATTTGTTAAATCACAGTGAGACTCATCAAGAACTATTGTTTCTTGCATACCAGTTTCACATGTTACTTCTCTAGTTTGATTTCCAGGACCACATATACGGTTACACTTTTTAAAAAAATTTGTTATAAATAATAAGTTTCATTTTTTAAAATGTGTAAAAATTTTAAATTTAATTTAAGACAAAAATATTAATTACAGTATTTTAGATAATTTGTTACTAATAACAATGAATATCTTTAGTACATTAATACTTTGTGGTACTTCATACTTTAAATTAAAAACTTCGAATGCTTCAGAATTTGAACAGCACACTTAGTGAAAAATGCACTTGAAGCAAAAAATAAGCTTTTAAACAAAGAATACACAATCTTCAATTAGCAATAATATGTTAAAGTTCATGGCTGTTATAATTAAATCCCTCATGTGTGTTAAGTAACAATAGCTGTTAAAAGTATGCAAAAACTGTCTGTTTAACCCAATATCACATTTACTTATTAATCATGGCATCTGAGAAGTGTGTGGAAGCAACAAAGTCCAACTAATAAAAGGAAGGCTGTAATGTTGACAATTCAGATGAAAAAGGAACTTGTTGCAAAGCATGAAAGTGGTACATGTGTGACAGATTTAACAGTCATGTTTAAGATGCCAAAGTCAACAGTATGTGACCAGAAAATGCAATTTTTATTTTATTATACCCATTTATGTATTCTATTTATTGTTTTTGTATTTTAATTTATTATCAGGGCATTTTTATGTGTTATTTTTACCTTAAATTCATATGTATTTGCTGTTTTAAGTTTTTCAAAATAGGAATTGTTTGGGGTCTGGGAATGGATTAATTCATTTTCCATTACAATAGAGCATCGATTATCCAACCCCCGATTAACCATCACATCAGTTAACTGACCATTCTAGTCAGCAAATTTCAAATGTCCGCTAGTGATGTGGCATTACAATATTTGGCTATGTCTTGGCTACTTTAATATTATTTTTGTTAAATTTTTGCGTGTTTTAGCTGGCATCAACGGCTCGACCGATATTTAAACGAGACTTAATTTTCTAATTATGAGTGGTTGTTTGTTTCGTGAGCAATAAAATAATTTTAAAATAATTTTTAATGATACAATAGCAACGATTATTATTTTTAAAAAAATTTGTTAGGCTAAACATCGATGAAAATTCAATGCGAAGTTGGTTAATAGCGATATACTAATAAACTAATTACATGGGATATACTAATATCCTAATATACTATACCAATAATGTATTTTTTTCCTTCTTTTCAGTTATCCAACCAACCTGAGTCCCCAATTGAGTCAGATAATTGATGCTCTACTGTATTTCTAATGGAAAAATTGCTTTAGACTTTGAATGATTCAGCGTTTGAATGGCCTCCTGGAATGAATTAAATTCAAAGTATGAAGTACCACTATAGCTTAAAAACAAAAATGTAAAAGCTTATATTCATACTGAATTTTATAGTAAACAATCTTCACTTTAACAGCACAATAACTTTTTACTCAATAGGTATTTTTAATTAATTGAAAGTGTGCTGGTGAGTGGGAGTTTTATTGTAAAACTCTTATCAAGTATATAAAAAAACTCTTAGAAGAGCAAAACGATCTTCATGGAGGTTCTTTTGCTCAAACATTTCAAATGTTACTAGCAGTGGTTGTATTTCTTATGCATTGTTGCTTGATCGCTATACAGCAAAGTATTTCTAAATGAAGTGCTATCATGTAGTGATCCATTCCAAATGTTTGCTGCAAGGGGTCACTGCAGCAAAGATAAACCAGCTTTTATTTGCTACATGTGCAAAGCAAAATGAATGCTTGTATGTATAATGTAATATTATGTTGTAAAAATAAAAAAGTCAAAGTGACTGTTGATAAAAATATTATGGAAAGATTAAGAAGGATTAAATTTTCTAAACTGACTCTGAAAGTCATCTAAAGAATAGGAGAATATTATATCTTAAACATAATTATCTATCTTCTGTCTCTTTATTTTGTTGATATTTTCAGAAAGAGAAATGCTCAATTCTTTATATCTCTTTTTTTATTATATTGTAGTTCTTTAAAAATATTACTTTTAGCTGTAACTAGAATTAAATGATAAACTAAGACATCCATGTTTAGGCAAAAAATCTCATTTCAAAACCCTGGATTTTCTAAGATTTCTTAGAATAAACATTTTATGAATAAACAATAAACAGTTCCTGAAATTGTAGTTATTATTTTGACAAATTTATACCATAGTGCTGTGTTTCATTACATTAATTAAATATTACTATTAATATTAAAAACAAATATTGTAGAAAATAGAAAAAAATCTTATGATAAATAATGAACCTTTTAAATCATAAATGTATGCAATTTCTTTGCAAAATGCTTACTTAAAAATAATTATTCTATAATAAAATTCATTCCTATATTTCAAAAGCAATCATTTACTATTATTTTTCATAATAAGGGTTTAAAATGAATATATTAAAATACATGCTTACAGCTGACCATGGTCCAACATGCCATCTTGGACATTCTACATCTTGATTGCAAATTTGATAGAATGATGGTTTAATTGAATCATCTAATTCACATTGTCCATCATTTGTTACAGCTAAAACACCACCATTGATAAGTTGTTGACAATAAATTAATCTGTATTGTACACCAGCTGCACAAGATTGTGAGCATTGACTCCAATCTCCAACATGCCACCTAAAAAATTTTTATATTTGTTATTTATATTCAAAAGTAAATTACACTTTGAATAATAATTTTTTCATTAAAAGAAGAGGATACTTTAACTTAGCAGACTATCTTCATATAATATCTAGCAGTTACAACTGATTGATGATTATTATCTGTTCTTAACTTTTGAATGACTTTTCATGGTCTATAGCAGCGCTGTCCAACTGGCGGCCCGCGGGCCGTATACGGCCCGCCAAACAATTTTTACGGCCCGCGAGTACATTTTACTATGAATAAATTTGTTACTAAATTATTATTATTAATATTAAAATTATTTTACTACCGTGTTTTCCCGAAAATAAGACAGTGTCTTATATTAATTTTTGCTCTGAAAAATGTGCTAGGTCTTATTTTCAGGGAATGTCTTATTTTTTCCAGGAAGAAGAATTCACATTTATTATTGAACAAAAAAATTCCCAAGTCAAACTTAGATGAGAGTGACGTATATCCAGTGTGTCGAACTGTCGCCTTTTTATAGCGTCAACATCGGACTCGCTGACCAATTAGTGCTTACTGAACCGTAGCACTATGCAAATGTCTTGTGGTTTATCAACCTTCTTGGCCCCCGAAATGTTTGGTGAAGAAAATATGGCCCGCGGGCTATGATAAGTTGGACAGCGCTGGTCTATAGAGTACATCTTGAAACCTCTACAATCTATGAGAACTAGTAAGAATATGTTTGACAATATTTCAGTTTCTGTTGGGTTATCTCCATCTTAGTAATTTATTCTTTGCTAAGTATTTATGTATTTTGAGATGATATAATCTCTCCATTTAATAAAAGAATTACAGTGTTAAAGGGGTGCTTAAGAGATAACATGTCTTAAGGACTAAAGTCTAAAACCTAGAATGAGGAAGAAAAAAGATTGCACTGTCAGTTTTCTTTACAGTAAACCTGATGAAAAACACAAAACAAATTGAAAATTTCAATATTCTAAAATCCATGGGAAAATTTGAGACAATATATGTGCTTACTTGAATAAAACAAAATATCAAATAACGAAATTTAGACTATACTTAAAAATTGTGAAATTTTGTATAGAGAATTTCCACAACCATGTAAGAGCAAAACCAGAAGTCATGTTGTACAGGGAATGTCCCCAATTTTCAAACTATGTTATAGAAGTATCGCGTTGTACAAGGAATACTTGTATTATTATTATTATATTGGGTTTTGTGAGTTATACTCGGTTCACACCGATGGCTATGTACTATGCCGGACCAAAGTCAATGCATAGCAACCAAAACAAAACTAAAATTAAATAAGTGTGTCAGTGTGTGTGTCTGTATTCAGGAATTTCCTAACAATGTGGCATTTATTCAATATAGTGGCCTTCTGTAATGTGATGTATGTATTTCTACTCAATTGTAATGTTCCCAGGCTTTTGTGTAGTGTATGTGGTATCACACCTGTACAGGAGAGAATGACAGCTACAATAAGCACCCTATCCATCCTCCACAGATGCCTTATTTCCTGGGCGAGTTCTGTGTACTTGCTAATTTTTTCAGTGCATGTGTTTTGTACATTGTGAGTGTTTGGAATGGCTATGTCTATAATGTATGTGATTTTATTGTGTTTGTCAATGAGTGTGATGTCTGGTCTGTTGTGGTAAATTGTTTTATCTGTGATTATGGCTCTGTCGTAGTATATTTTGTGCATGTTATTTTCCAATACTGTCTGTGGAATATACTTGTAGTATGGTTCGTGAATGTCTACCAAGTTGTGTTTCTTTGCAAGCTCTTGGTGTATTATATTTGCTACTTGATTATGTCTGTGTAAATAATCTGTCTGTGCCAAGAGCTTGCAACCAGAAGTGATGTGTTGTATAGTTTCTGACATCATGTGACATTTTCTGCATGTGTCATTTGTGAGTGTTGTATCTTTGAGTATGTGTTTTCTGTAGTTTTTAGTATTTAGTATTTATGACCTGATGTAGTTTTTAGTATTTATGACCTGATTATTATTATTATTATTATTACTACTATTATATATACATAAATATTTCTTACATTGCAGGACATGGCTGAGTATTACATTCACGTGTAGTTTGTGGTTTTTTTCCAATATCACATAGATTTTCTTCAACTTTCACATTATTTTCAGACTGTTTACAATATACAATTCGATGCTGCTCTCCTGAAATTAGAAAAAAAAAAAAGTAATAATTATTATAATATATACTATTCTGTAAATTAAATACACTGATTTTTCAGATGAAAACTTTTATATTAAATTGTTTTTTCATATCAAATATATATAATAAGTTGTTTTGCTTGATGAAGACATTAATCCATCATTGAATGAACTTGAATGTATATTTGACATTGGAAATTTCTTGATTGCTTCCTGCGCAGCTGGGGATAAAAAAATGTGCTCTCAGTCAGAGATTTTTTCTAAGATTGTTTCACACCCAAAAGTTTAACATTAAAATATCACATGTAATAAAGAACAACAAAAATTATCACGATTAATTTTCTTCTACTTTTTGTAGTTTGTTTATGCGTCGTCAACAATACTTTATGTTTAAAAAAGTTATTAATTAATGCCAAAAGACAGTATATTTAACGTTTTTATTTTTATAAATAATAATAGAGTGAATAAAAAGATTTTGCAGTACTACACAAAATTCATCCATTATAAAAAAGAATTAATGAATCAATTTATTTTATTTTTGTATTAAACTATTGATAAGTTCTATGTAATGATCAGAAATTTTTTTTGTGTACAATAATAATAATAATAATAATAACTCTCCCGTGGTCACCACCTGGTCGTGGTGGGAGAGACCACTAATTTTACTGAACCATAGAGCAATGCAGGCTGGAGCACAAGCTCCTGGTAGGGACACCCATGCTAGTAAGGTCTATGGGGAGAAATGAAGCTAAGAGTGACCACACACCCACATTCTGTGGAAATATTTATCATGGTAGTAACCAGATCTAAGTATGATACCGGCTCGGATGTCGCCCGGGTTAACAAGGTCCGCGTTCGTGGGTTAGGCAGAGGCTCACGTTCGAAAAATAGGCTCCAGTCTCCCTTGGTTACCGGTGGCGAAAGCAGCGCCGGCCCAAGCATGGCTACTGCAATGCCCTCAACAGATGTGAGGAATCAACCTAGCCTTGGTGTTTCTGTGGCAATGCATCCACAGACCACAAAGGCTGGAAAACCACGCCAACGGATGAAATGGACAACAGAAATGAACGAGTTTATCATCCGCACTTACTACACCATCACAAGACTCGAAACAAACATGACAGCATACAGACAACAACTACACCATAGATTCACACAACAATATCCTCACCTCACTGTCACCGAACAAAGGGTTGTTGATCAAAAACGAACAATTATACACAACAACCTTATCCCACAAACAACACTTGAACTTATCAAACAACAGGTTGCTGATCAAATACATCAACAGACAGAAACATTTAACATTAATGAAGATCACGTAACCTGTCAGGATAATCCAGCAACAAGCACTGATTACAGCACACACACAACAAGTACCACTAATGATACTGCAGGCACTTCCCCATCCATCACTGATAACGTAGACATAGAATTAGTTAATACGCTCTCACTTATATTTCAGGAAACACTCATTAAATATACTGGTACAGATCCCACACAAAGACCACGAATACCAAAAATCAACACGTCAAAGGCAGTAGGAAAAACACTAGATTATGTAAACACTCACTTACTACCAAACTACATTCATTCAATTTCTACACTCTCAGACATTCATACATTAGTTTATGCTGGGGCAGTCACAGTAGTAACACACCATGGACTGAAAATACACTCACAGACAGACACACACAAAACACAATTCTATCACAAGCCTGCCTGGCAGAGAAGAATAGAAACACAAATAAATGACATTAGACAGCAATTAGGCAGGCTGACACAATACACTAAAAACAACATAACACCCAAATTAAAGAAACAACTCAAAAACATTTTCAAGAAAATCAAAACACACACAAAACACGAACATCACAACACACACATTACAGAATACATCGATACACTAAAACAAAAACTCGCAGCCAAAGCACGTAGACTCAAACGATACAAAACATGTACACTACGAAAACAACAAAATAAATTATTCACAAACAATGAAAAACTTTTCTACAGACAAATCAGTACCAAAACAAACACTGATACACAGCACAGTGGCACACCAACAGAAGAAGAACTCACAACTTATTGGTCTTCTCTTTGGTCCAATGCTGTTACACACAATGCTGATGCAGGCTGGATCAAGGAGGAGAACAGAAACTTGCATAACATACCAAGTATGCCCTGTGCTGAAATAAACATACACGACATTCGCTACGCTGTTAACAGAACACACAACTGGAAGACACCTGGTGTAGACAACATTCACAATTTCTGGTACAAAAAGTTTACATCACTGCACCAGGAACTAGCTAAACATCTAACACACATCATCATCAATCCACAAGACATGCCAAAATTTCTTACTCAGGGCATCACCTACATGAAACCTGAAAATAACAAAACCACAGAACCCACACAACACAGACCAATTACATGTCTTCCAACACTCTATAAATTACTGACATCCTGTAACACAAACAAAATATACAAACATGTTGAAGAACACGACATTCTTACGGAAAAACAAAAAGGGTGCTGAAGAAATCACAGGGGATGCAAAGAACTGTTACTCATAGATTCAGTCATTCTACGGCAAGCACACAAACAACACAGAAACATACACATGGCATATATAGACCACAGAAAAGCATTCGACAGTGTTCCGCACAGTTGGCTGCTACATATTCTATACATGTACAAAATTCATTTGTCACTCATTGCATTCTTCAAAAACACTATGCAGCACTGGAGAACAACACTACATCTCAGGGTTAGTAACACTTTCATACAAAGAAACGAAATATTCATTAGGTGAGGAATTTTTCAAGGAGATTCCTTGAGTCCTCTCTGGTTCTGCCTAGCCCTGAATCCATTATCCAACATGTTAAACAACACACAATATGGCTATAATGTCAGACATGAAAAAACAACACAGTTTATGGCAGGGCTGTGGAGTCGCGTAAAAATCTACCGACTCCAACTCTGACTCTGAATCTTCCTTACCATCCGACTCTGACTCCGACCAGGGGCGGACTTGTTACCGAAAGAAACCTGGAAATTCTGATGTCATCACGTGACCTCTGAATAAAAGATTCAATAAATAGAGTTCTAATAAAGATAGAGTGTAGAAACTTTTTATTCCAAAGCTAAAAGACTTCTCTAAGTAATATGTAAATATGTATTCGATAATTTTTACTTTTCCGGCTGTTATATATAACAGAGGAAAAGTGTAGTGCTCAGTCAAAAAATGACCCCTCCCAAATTTTTACATTTTTTGACTCGGGACACCTTGAAATTTCGAGATATGCAAAAGATTCAAGGTTTTTTCTATATGTGTGGATGTTAGACTGTGTGGGGGGGCATGATTTTGTTCACCCTATTTGAAGCCTAATAATTTCTGTGGTCAGAGTGGAAGAATCGGAGTCAGATGGTTTAACACAGGAGTTAGTTATTAAGCGTTAAAGTGGTTGAACTAAATCATGTCCCCATATACATTCTAACATCTTAGGAGAGAACATCTTAATGGATTTTACTGTACTATTGTAAAATGGCTAAAAAGCTTACTTTGAGGGTAAAGATGAGTTTTATTTGATTTTTTTTAAATTTTGAATGCTAATAACGAGTAAAATATTCATTAAGAGATATGACAGATGACCACTTTTAGGTCTTCACCCTGTCGACGTTTAATTAAGAACCAAAATTTAATAGTATTAATGCCCCTTTATACGCAAGCCACAGTGCCACATTGCGTTTCTTAAACTTTACCCATTTGTTTTTTATTGTTTAATATCTCAGAACAGAAAATAAAGAAATTAAATAAATTAGATGTTAACACACAGGCGTGTGCAAATTTTTCCACTTTACTGACTTTTTTAGGGGTTCGGGAGGTCTCCAAATGTGTAGATTTGCAAAAAAAAAAAAACTTGGGTCAAATTTGACAAGATTCCAATACTTTTCCATTTTATATACATAAGTAAAAAGGAGTCGGAGTTGGCAGATTTTTTTATGACTCCGACTCTGACTCCAGCTAAAACACCAAAACTCCACGACTCCGACTCTGACTCCACAGCCCTGGTTTACGCTGTCACATCTCATGTACATGGACGACATAAAACTTTATGCATCCATACAGAAACAATTTCATCAACTCCTACAAATCACACATTCATACACCAAAGACATACAAATGGAGTTTGGATTAGACAAATGCAAAACACTTCACAGAGAAAAAGGAATCCTGAAGAAAGAAGATTTTGCACTTGGAAATGGAGACATTATTGATTCCATGGAAGAGGGTGAGTTCTACAAGTATTTAGGATTCCAACAGGCCAAACTAACAGAACATACACAAATAAAGCAAAGATTAATTAAAGAATATCAAAGTAAGTTAAATGCTATCCTCAGAACATAGTTAAATGAAAACACACAGTTAAAGCAATAAACATATATGTCATCCCAGTACTCACATACTCTTTTGGAGTTATACATTGGACTCACACAGATCTCGAGCAACTTCAAAGGAAAACAAGAACAACACTTACTAAGCATAAACAACATCACCCTAAATCTGCCACAGAAAGATTAATCCTTTCACGTAAAGATGGCGAATGTGGCCTGATTGACATAGTTAACCTTCACTACAAACAAATACAGTCATTGCGAGAGTTTTTCTACAGGAAACAAGAAACATCACAATTACATAAAGCAGTAACTCTAGCAGACTTAAATAGCACACCATTAAACTTACACTCACAACATACAGACATGACACAACACATAAAAAGCATAGACACCATCAAGCAATCGTGAGCTCGAAAGGCACTCCATGGTAGGCATCCTTATGATATAGCCCAGAATTTTGTTGACAAAACTGTGTCAAATAGCTGGTTAGATTGGGGATGCCTCTTTGGGGAGACAGAAGGATTCATGATTGCCATACAGGATCAGGTCATAAATACTAAAAACTACAGAAAACATGTACTCAAAGATACAACACTCACAAATGACACATGCAGAAAATGTCACATGATGTCAGAAACTATACAACACATCACTTCTGGTTGCAAGCTCTTGGCACAGACAGATTATTTACACAGACATAATCAAGTAGCAAATATAATACACCAAGAGCTTGCAAAGAAACACAACTTGGTAGACATTCACGAACCATACTACAAGTATATTCCACAGACAGTATTGGAAAATAACATGCACAAAATATACTACGACAGAGCCATAATCACAGATAAAACAATTTACCACAACAGACCAGACATCACACTCATTGACAAACACAATAAAATCACATACATTATAGATGTAGCCATTCCAAACACTCACAATGTACAAAACACATGCACTGAAAAAATTAGCAAGTACACAGAACTCGCCCAGGAAATAAGGCATCTGTGGAGGATGGATAGGGTGCTTATTGTATCTGTCATTCTCTCCTGTACATGTGTGATACCACACACACTACACAAAAGCCTGGAAACATTACAATTGAGTAGAAATACATACATCACACTACAGAAGGCTACTATATTGAATACATGCCATATTGTTACATATATCACACTACAGAAGGCACTATATTGAATACATGCCATATTCCTGAATACAAACACTAACACTGACACCGACACACTTATTTAATTTTAGTTTTGTTTTGGTTGCTATGCCTTGACTCTGGTCTGGTATAGTAGACAGCCATTGGTGTCAACCGAGTATAACCCACTAAACCCAACATAATAATAATATATTATAAAAAAATTGTTGCCCCATGTATGTATATATATAAGGGTGGATCAATAAATAACCAGTCAAAAGCAATAGCATGAAATATAAAGATTTTATTTTAGCAATAATTATCCATTGTTCAAACACTTATCCTAGTTTAACACTTATCCTAGTTTAACACAAGCCTACTTATGCTTCGTTCAAAGAATATAGTGGGACAGTAATGGTAACCAATCACAGACTGCAGCTGCACTTCAATGTCGAAGAAAAATCACCTTTCTTTAAATGCATTTTTCAGTTCTCCAAAAACATAAAAGTTGCAGGGTGACAGGTCAGGATTACAGAAGAGATTCTTAAGCACTCCCATCCAAACTGCTGTAGCAGGTCCTTTGTCCTTCTGGTTGTTTGATCTGTGGCAGTATGCCATATTTTATGTATAGATTTAATTTTATATTTTTTATTTCTTTTAATCCTTCTCTGTCTATCCCTTTGTTCTTCTGCTCTTTTTTTTTTCTGTATTTCTAGAAATTTCTAACCCAACCTTTCTCTACCAGGTTGTGGAGATTAACAATAAAATGCAAGAAGCCCTGAGGGCAAAATCTCATTTTGAGGGGTCACTTTTTGACTGGACACCAAGGAAGTGAGAGGTGTACCAGGAAGGTTGTTTTGACAAGGGCTGGAGAGCACGATCTCAGAATAAGAGACTTACAAGAAAATCATAAGCAAGATTTTAAAGTAAAAGACTCCTCAGAGAAAATTCTATATTTTGAGAAAAGAAAAAGTTCAGAGCAGTACATCTGTAAGGACGTTAGAATTGGAACTGAGCCATCAAAATGAGAGATTTGTCGAGATTTGGGTATCCCTTTCCTATACAGGTATATCTCGCCTTACGTTGGTAATTGGTTCCAGGAGAGGCGACTTAAGTTGAAAAACAACGTAAGTCAAATTTACTTGTCTCCATATTTACTTGTCACTAGGCTAAACCACAAATAACCATTTCCAGTTCTGTATTTTATTAATAAATGCATTTTTTAATAATATATGGTTAATAAGAATCTATTTTAAGCTTACAAACAAATAAATTTTAGTTTTTAATATAGTACAGAAAAAAGTAATCTAAATTTACAAATTCATGTACAGTACGTACAATACATAGTTGTAAATGTACCATACATGTTTACAATTTGGCGATGTTTACAGTACATTGCAGACTCTTTATTTGTGAATGTGGTTTGCTCTAAGACATTATAAAATAAGATGATTTTGTAAGGTTAAATAACAAATACAGTTATTAAAATTATCTTGCGACAGTAGAAAATAAACTAATTTATATTAAATTTACCAACACCAAGTGGCGCTGATAACGACACCAAACGGCAGATATTGGAGCTATTGTGGAAAATGCCAATATTGAGCACTTAAAGACCGCTAAATAAGACGACAATACAGAAACACAGATGTTTTCATGTTTCGTTCTCTAGGATTTATGATGATTATATTAACATTTACTGTAAATGTATATATTTTAATATAATTTTATGTGCTTTAATGATTTTCTAGTGATATTATGACTTCAATATTTGTGGCGGACAGACGTAAAGTCAAATAAAATGACTTAAACTTGATTTTTATTTTTCCATATATTTTTTGACAAATGACATATAATCGAGAACAATGTAACTCAAGGCATACCTGTAAATCCTTCCTTTCTTCTTCTTCAATCTATACACATATATTCTTCATTTAGTTTTAAATAGGTTAAGATTAGGCTTAGAATTTGATCCGCAATTGTAAAATATGTCTCATTGTATATTAGTCATATCAAATTGTTAATTGTAATGACTTCCCATATGAGAAGAATTCATTGTACATATTATTATCGTGAGGAAAAAACTGGGAGTTGTATCAGGGTTGGAATCTGAAAATTCTTTGTTCAAATGAAAAAATAAAGTTTGTTCTTTGTGTATCATCCTTTGTGTTAGTCCCTTTCCTGTTGAACATCACAAGTCTGTTCTTCTTTGAGAGAATATGGTACCCACTACACACATGCTTTCCTACTTTCCTAAAATAGAAATGTTTGTGCACCGTGTTGAAACTCAGTCTTGCAGCAGTTGCAATGTCACAATGTTATCTGTCTGTCTGTGAGCAAAAGGTCTTCTACCATTTGCACATTCTGTGATTTGGCTGCATATTGCAGATGTTCTGATCATTACTTATCCTTCACCCCCTCAGTCCTTCCCAAAATTATTTTGCCCACACCTTAACCTGGGCAAAACTTAAGATACATCTGTTTCATTTGCCAATGAACAAAAGTGGGCCTACAACCTTCAGTGACTGATTCACCTGTTGCTCAACTTTGGATGCTTCCATTTTCCACCACAATCATGCAAACAAATGACTAAAGCTACAGATATTTACCTTATATAGGAATGTACAGTACCTTTTGTGCAAATTTCTACTTTGTGCAACACTTATTCAATGATTGTTTCCATTTATTATTTCTATAACCATTAGATATCAAAAAAGTATATCTTCTGCATTTTATGACTAAAAACTTATAACATAATATCTGCATTTTATGACTAAAAACTTTAGTATTAGAATTGCATAAGATTTGGTTTGATTTCAGTAAAGTTTTAAAATTATTCGTATAGCAATTGATATACATAGATTCATGTTTTCATGACTGACATGTATAAATTGTATATAGCCTTGATTATACACAGTTCATGTTACTTATAATTAATCTTAAACATATATTAGAATGTAATTGTTTTGAATTCATGGAATATTATAATAAAAGATTAGCCATGCATTATAAAAACCATTAATAAGTAAAAAATACTCATTAATTTCCAATTATACAATATTTTTATACTTTTGTATATGCAACACTTTTTTTAAACATTATTTCAAATAAATAAATTTGAAAACTAATTTAAAAAATATATCAAAATAAAGGAGAAAAATATTTTTGTTAAAAGTGTTTTCATATATTAAAATTATTAAGTTATGCAATCCAACTTACCACCACTGCATGTCTTTGAACATTCTTGAAAGTCTTCAGTTTCCCAAATATAAGTAGCTGTTGGTACTAATTTATCTTCCACTGGAACAGAATATTCATATCTGATACCTGGATTTCTTTCTTGATACAATAACTTTAAAAATGTTTAATGTTTTTACAATGAAAAATATGAAATGTTATTAAATTTCCACTTATAATAATTACTTTTCAATAAAATTAAATTTTATTAGTTTGATTAAACTTACAACAATGAAAAGTGGTTCAAGTGTTGGACCTGCTGACCATAAACGTTCTGGTTGTGATAAATCATGTTTACGTTCATAATGAAATTCCACACCAGCAATAGTAAAATCTCCAGGATATTCTATCTTCCAATTTCCATTTAAATAATAATAACCAGAAATGTTTCTAACAGCTGAAATAATTTTAAATTATTAGAAATCAAGTTTTTAAATATTTACTTACACTTAAAACAAAATCAGTGTGAAATTCAAAACAAAACAAAAACTATATATTTTAATGTTTAAAAATGTCTAAAAATTATTTAGATAATTAACAATTTGTTTAAAAAACAAAATTAAAAACTGTTAACTGATGAAAATTATAGTACAGTTATAGATTGTTTTTAAGAAACAAATTAATATTAGTTTTTTTTTATTATTTATTTGCTGTTGCCACGTTTTGTATTATTTACTACATTGTACTTGATGCTGTGCTTCAAGTATAATACAATAATTAATTATTTTCATACTAGCAATTCCATCATTAACAGCAGACTTAAGAAGCATAATAATGCTAATAAAATCTAAGGATTCATTCATAATAAATGAATGTTTTTAAGGACAATTTACATTTCATCATTAAACCAATATAAAAAAAATCCAGAACAAGTTTGATTAAAAAACATTTTATATTTTTGATTATTATGAAATGGCAGAAAGCTTAATTTTGAAAGTAGGAACGAGTTTTATAAAAAAAAAAATTGTAAATGCTTAATATAAACACACATAAAAACCTTTACTTGACCAGTAAAAATATATTTAATGAAAACAACAAACGTTTTCGACTGCCTTCCTCAGTCTTCCTCAGGTTTTAAATTCTGATATTCAAAAATCGTTGTGCTTAAATATTTAAACATTTTGGAACATTAAAACCTGAGGAAGACTGAGGAAGGCAGTCGAAAACGTTTGTTGTTTTCATTAAATATATTTTTACTGGTCAAGTAAAGGTTTTTATGTGTGTTTATATTAAGTAAATTGGACAAGTACCAGGTGAGAAGTAACTTTTATTGTAAATGCTAATAATGAGTAAAATTGCATTAAGTCTGACCCTACTCAAGATATGACACACAACCCCTATTTATCTCCCCACCTCTTCGACCACCAAAATTTAATAGTATTGTTGTAATTGATTTGTTGTAACTTCATCTGGGTGTCAAGTCAAAATGGAAATTCCAACATACTTTCCTTTGAGAGAGTCCTTCTGTAGTTGTCACCCCAGTCAGTTGTATCCCAGAGTGAATAAAGTTAATTGTTAATTAACTATGTGTTTTTATGTGAAAACAGTGACTTCTTTTTTGGAATTTCACAGAGAGCATCTGTCATGTAAAACTGCTCTAAAGGTAGTGCTCTCTCATCCTTGTTGTGGTGTCTTGTTGTAGATGATCTCAAGGAATCTTAGCAGTTCTGGATTGTATATCTAAGATATGCAGAAAATATTGTTGAGTGTTGGGAAACTTCCCAGCACTCTATTAAACCTGACACAAATGTAACAGCTCAGCTTGAGCATCAGTCCTGATTAAGGATGCACTGATAAGCAAAATGGCTGATTACCAATTAATCGGCCAAGCATTATCGACTGATTAGTGTTAATAATTTATTGTGTTAATAGTTAAATAATATTATGATTATTATCGTATGAAATTATGTATTCTTAATACAAATATAAAGTTTCATATGATAAAAATAATTTTATAACAATTTGTTATAAAAATAGTTTTCAATATAAAGCTATTTTTTAAGATTCATGTATTAAATTAAAATAATAAATTATAATAAATTATTATTTTGAAAAACTTTTTAATTTTAATTAATAGCCAAATCCAAACCTCTTCTGGTACGAGGACTATTCGGAAAGTTCACGGCTTCAAATAGAACAACAAACAAAATAATGTTAAAACTTTTTTTATTTTTCAATGTAGTCTCCTTTGTTAGCAATGCACTTATTCCAGCGATGTTCTAGCTTTTTTATGCCATTACAATAGGTCGATTTGTCAAGGTGTGCAAAATACTCGTTTACTTCAGAGATGACTTTGTCATTTGAGTGGAATCTCTTTCCAACCAAGAATTATTTTAAATTTGGAAAAAGGGGGAAGTCACTGGGGGCCAAATCAGGTGAGTACGGTTAATGTGGAACTAATTGGAAGCTAAGTTCGTTTATTTTTTGTTCAGTGATTCTGGCATTATTGTGGTGAAACAGAACCTTCTTCTTCAAATGTGGCCTCTTCGATTTCTTTCTTCAGTTTTTCCAAAAGTATACAGTAATAGACAGCATTGATGGTCTTTCCTCTTTCTAGGTAGTCAATAAAGATGATTCCTTTAGCATCCCCAAAAAACCGAGGCCATCACTTTCCCCGCTGATGGAACTGTTTTTGCCTTCTTTGGTGGTGGCGAACTGGGGTGTTTCCATTGCTTCGACTGTTCTTTTGTTTCAGGAGTGTAGTAATGGATCCACATTTCGTCAGTAGTCACAAACCGATGCAAGAAATCTCGTGGGTTTTTCTTGTAGAAGTCCAAACACTTCTTTGACATCAAAGTGCAAACACGTCTTTGCTCAGCGGTCAGCAGATGCGGCACCCAACTTGCTGAGACCTTCGTCATACCCAAATTTTCGGTTAGATGTGGTGCACTCAGTCGATAGAGATACCTGTTGTCTCAGCTATCTCATGCATTTTCAAGTGGCGATCTGCTAACACCAAATCGTAAACTTTGTCGATATTTTTTTCAGTGACAGCAGTTGACGGCCGTCTGCTGCGAGGGTCATGTTTCACACTCTCTCTGCCAGATTTAAAAAGGGCTGTCCATTTTTTCACAGTGGTTTACGAAGGAGCAGACTCTCCCAAAACTCCATCCATGTCAGCTTTGATTTGAGATGCGGTCAACCCTTTTTTCGTCAAGTATTTTATGACCGCACGAGTCTCCGTCTTCTCCATTTTTGACAAAGCACGTGCACATTGACTATCTGCTAAGCTGTCGTGGCAAAACTTTACAACAAATCAAGCAGAAATTGGTATCGTATCTTTAGCAAGGATGGCTGAATTATTCCCGCCAAAAACTAAATTGATTGCAGCGCCGCATATAGGCAAGGCCGTGAACTTTTCGAACAGCCCTCGTATTGCTTGGAAATTTTTAAAGAAAGATAAAAATGAGAAGTTCTCAAAATGCAATTTGTGCCAGTCTTTTATATCGTGAGTGGACAAAATGATAAAACTTTTACCACCAAAAACATGATAAATCATCTCAAAAAATGTCATCATGAAAACTTTTTAAAAGAAACTTAAAAGATGAAAAGAGAAAGTTCCAAAACCAAAGAAGCTGGATATTCATCAGTAACAACAAAAAATTCATATCTAAAGACAAGCTACTTTAACTCAATTAATAGAAAAGAAAAACTTGTGGGATATAAATGATCAACAATCCAAAGAGGTTCATTATTTAATTGGATAAATGATAAGTATAGATATACACCCATACTCTGTTGTGGCTGATTTAGGATGTCAAAGATAACTAAAAACAATCGTTCCTAATTACAATATTTCCAGCAGAAAATATTTTTCTGAAAATATCATCCCTGACATATTCCAAAAAGTTCAGTCAAAAATTCAGATGAAATTCATTGACGATGCAAAATATATTTCTTTAACTGCTGATATTGGGACAGTGACTACAAACAATTCTCCTTTTTTAAGTGTAACAGCCCACTGCTTGAAAGATGATTTTCAGCAAGAAAGAGCTGTTTTGTGAATTGTTCCCTTTGAAAGTTCCCACACAGCTACATGAATTAGTGAACAGATAAACATTGTTCTTGAACAGTATAAGTTGACAAGTGATAAGATATTCTTAGTACTGAGAGATTCTGGAGCAAATATGGTAGCTGGAATCAGGAATTGCAACTTAGAGGCATTATCATGCTTTACACATACACTGCAGATGACACTAAATGAATGCATATTTTCTCAACAAGATGTGAAAACTATAATCACAGATAATAGAAATATTGTCACACATTTTAATCATTCTGCTGTAGCTGTAAGCAAATTGGAAGATTTGTAAGACATAGGTTTGCAGAAACAAATTAATTCAAGATGTTCCTACTCACTGGAATTCTACATACTACATGTTGCAAAGAAGCTTGGAACAGCAAAAAACCCCTTGTCACATATGCTATAGATAATAAAATTCTCACATTGAGCACATATCAGTGGTCTCTCATTGAAAAAAATTGTTCTACTTTTAAAACCATTCAAAGAAATTACTGTGGAAGTCAGCAAACAAGAAACCACCTCATCTTCAATAATTCCCACAATAGAGACTCTGAAATTATTCTTATCAAAAGCAAAGAACAGTAGTTCCTTTAGTGGCATTAATACCACAATAGAAGACAAGAAAATTCAATAAAAAAAATTTTCAACTTAGTCTTTATACTTGTCATCTTTACTATATCCAAGATTCAAAATGAAATTTCAAAAAAAGGATATGGTAGAGGAAATAAAAAGATGGACAATTGATAGCTTAGATGATACTGATAATTAAAAATCTCAAGATGAATTAAAGTCTAAAGCTTCTACTTCTGGAGATGACTAAGATGGATCTCTAAGTTTTTCTAATTTATTTGATGAATTATTTGATTTATTTGATAAACAAAAGAATGAAGAAGAGTATGTTTATAAAAACAAAGAAAAAATGAAACAAAAGTTTCGATCAAGAATTAGAAAAATATTTACATTTACCTCTCATACAAAGACAAAAAAGTGACCCATTTTTGTGGCAGAGAAGTTCAAAAGAACTTTTCCTAATTTGAGCAAAATAGCTATGAAATATCTAGGTGCATCAGCATCTTCCATTGAAAGTGAAAGAATTTTCAGCACTGGAGATAACATTTATGAGCCGGCAAGAAATAGGCTATGCCCTGAAAATGGTGAAATTCTCAAGTTTTTGCATTACAATTTAAGGGTTTTAAAATTTGAATATTAAATTTTTATTTGTTTTATATATTTAAAGTTTAAACTTTAAATAAAAGAGATAGTTTTGAATAGGTTATATTACACCTTATAATATGTATTGATAAAAGGAATAATATGAGTTGAAAATTTTAATATTCAGTTTGTCATATAATAAATACAACTGTCCCTTGATAGTCCGACATTTTGTAATCCGACATGCTCAGTAGTCCGACGCACCTCCCGTCAAGGTACCCGTCCCCGTTACGTGTCTTCTTGCACAGAAGCATGTCGCGACGTGAATCTCCCCACCCAATTCTTACACGATAACACACATTTCGTGTGTTTACCGTGAGCAGTTCTGTTCGAACAGTTGGAGTAGGGAATATTGTAGGCTACTGCTAGCAAAACAATGCCAAATATGTAATCACTTTCGGTAATCTGGACACTTTTGGTAATCCGACACCCCTTTGGTCCCATACCTGTCAGATTATCAAGGGACAGCTGTAATAAATATATAACAGAAATTTATTATTTTTTATTACTAGTCTTATATGTAACATTCTAACAAAAACATTAAAACGCAAAACTGGCTGATTATCAAAACCAATTAATCGGGGAAATAGCCGAAATGGCCAATTACCAATTATTTACCGATTAATCGGTGCATCCTTAGTCCTGACAAAACTATCATTGTTCTTTTTATTCACAGGAGAGGTTTGAAAAACTTTTCTGAGCCTTTGAAAGTTCTGTGGTAAAGTCTAGTTTATAGATAGATTCAAAACAAATAGTAGCTGATGATGACTATATTTAGCAGTCATCATCAGGTTCTTAAGTGTTCTAAAGGAAACAAGAATTTCAAACACAAAGATTTAAAAAAAAAATTTCAATTACAAATTTTTAAAATGTTTTATTTTTAATCATTTATTAAATATATTACTAAAAATTGTTATAAAATGGATTATTAACTATAGTATAATATCATATATATTAATTAACTTATTCAAAATTACTTTAATGTAACTTATATATTACACATACAATTCATTATTGTACAATAGAAAAAGCCGAATCTACAGAACTTTGTAATATAAAGACCTTATGTCTTAACACACTTTACATACCTATTCCAATAGTAGAGTCTCGGTTATTTGTGAAATGAAAATAATTCAGTTAGAAATCTACTTTGATTAGTGAAAAGATTAAATAATAAAATTTGACTGAAAAATATTTTAAAAAATAATAATCTTCTAAATTGGAATCAGAATTGAGTTTTATAGATAGTGTAAATCTCAATTAAGTTAATTGTAAATAATTTCAATTAATTAATAATTTCATCACCAAAATAAAAAGAAAAGTATCTTAATGTAAAAATGATTTTGCAGAAATAAATATCAAAGATTATTTTTAAAAACATGATGCTTTTACTAAGTTCTAAATAAAGATACTTTAAATAAAAATACCTTGATGGAGAGACAGCTTGGATAATCAAGACTTGATTAACCGAGACTCTACTTTTGATTCTGAGTGTCAATTCTCATTACTTTTCAGAAGCCCAAAGTTTATCATAAAAGTAAAACATTGAAAATCATTATATATCATACAAAATGTAAAAATTATTATTATTAATTTAAATAGAAAATAAAATTTACTAATAATTATTACCAAAGTAATTACTGTTTGGAATCACTTCTTCAATAAGTATGGATGTTGCAAATGGAGGAATCAAGAGTATATCATTGTAACCTAAAAAGTACAAAGAAAAATTATATTTGAGATTAGAGTTTATCCAATTAATTATTAAATTGTAAAGAGTTATAATAATATTAAATTAAATTAGATTAGTTTTTTCTCATACACAATATAATTTAGCAGATAAATAGATGTAAATAAATCAATAAAATATTAGCAGAATGGCATCAAAAATAAAAAAATTTTAATGTAACTTTATTACACTAAAAGTAGAAGTATTTATAGAAGATCATCTTTAAAATAAGTAACTGCAGCTACATATTTCTGCCAATGCTTGTACCACTTATTAAAACAGTCTTACAGCTCATTCTGAATTACCTCTTTGAGTGCAATTGTCACAGAACTCTTTACTCTCTTGCTGATTTGATCTACAGTTCTTTAGTAGATTTTTCATTTTAGTGAATATGTTTTCGTAGACTTTCATATCTTCACTAAATCAGTTAGATTCAAATCAGTAGAAGAGATGAAAAGTGCTACAATAATTTCACTCAGAAAGTAATGCAGAATGGGCTGCAAGACTGCATTAATAAGTATTGGATTGAACCAGAAGTTCATTCAGAAGTATTTACCAGAAGTACTTACATAATCGCTCGTCTGTGGCACCTTTGTTGTGCTTATCAAGTTTTAACTTGTTTAGGTTGACATTACAAATATCTGCATATTTATTACATAAGTTTAATTACAGCTATTTTTTAATCATCTTTTTCGTTCATTGCAGAATAATTTAAATGGCATAGAATTTCAATCTCTAAAAGATATCAAAAATCACATTGATAATTTTTTCAATCAGAAACCCACCCAATTCTACACAGACGGAATTATGAAACTACCCATCAGGTGGCATAAGGTTATTGAACAGAAGGGTGAATACATTGTGGATTAAACGTTTTTGTTTATTTCAAAATAGTATATTTTATTTCTTTCTAAAAACCGAATGAACTTTTGGTTCAACCCAATACATTAGCAGAAGTGCATAGCTGCAGAAGATGCTTATTTTGAATATAATCTTCTTTAAATATTTGTACTATTAATTAATGTATTAAAATTACATTGGAAGTTCAGTTAACTTTTGACTCTACATTGTAGTTCTTTCACCCTCCAAGTGAACTTAATGTATAACACACCTCTCAAAAGCTCACTAAGGGCTAGTGTCAGATTTAAAGCATTAACAAATGTTTTTGGGCTCTTTCTGAGCCCTACTTCAGGTTTTCTGCATTCTATAAATGAAACACATATAGAATAACCTTGGTCAAATTTAAATTTAAATCATTTTTTTTGTGTTCCATTTATAGAATACAGAAAACCTGAAACAGGGCTCAGAAGGAGCCCAAAACATTTGTTAACATTTTAAATCTGACACTAGCCCTTAGTGAGGTTTTGAGAGGTGTGTTATACTATACATGAATTGTTTTTAAAGTAATGTCTTTCATATCATAACATCATCTATCTGAATACTAACATTTTCTATTGATTTATTTAAATATATTCTTCTCTCTCTTTCCCACTTTGTTTTTATTTATAACATTTGTTGAATAAGAAAAGAAAAAATTATTATTATAACAAATTTTAATTGCGGTTAATTCTTTTTACAAAAAAATTCTTACCAATTGTTGATTATGCTTTTTTATTTAAATTATTCTTTATTGAAACTAATAATTCTTAAATTAAAAAGATGAGAAACCCAATTAATAATTCAAAAAGTATCTTTATTTATTTTTATATAACAATAGTATTGTAGATGGTATCACCATGATATCTTAACAAAATTACATATAATTTTAAAATAATTTATTAATAAAACAATAGGGTCATGCTGATCATCTAACTCCTTTCAGGGAAAAATTTTTGAATTGAAATAATGACTTCCAGTTTGCATTGGAAGTTTGTATGTAGTTAATTGGGTCTCTAATCTTTCCATATCTGGTCTCAGCTTTCATCTATCTAATTCCATTCTCTAGATTAAGGAAGGACAGACAACAGTAAACATAGGTCAACAATTTTTTCAAATTGCAGCCCAATTATGTATCCACAAATGACTTAACAGCAAATGATGTGCACACAATGCCATTTTCATTAATTACCTATGTTTATAAGAATGAAAGTTTTTAAGCTATTTGCTCCAGTATTGAAAGTTAGTAAAAAGATTTATTTTTGGAAATTAAATAGAAATAAAGAGGGCATGGTTTATTGGAAATGGTATTTTTAAAGAACAAGAAATGAAATGTTAAAGTTGAAAATGTAGGAAAATTATCAAAATGGATAACAAAGCATATCTTCTGAAGTGTACTTTGTTAATCTATCTGTTAACACACTAAACCAAAATGAATAGGATTATAAACCAAAATGATGACTGTGTGTAGAAAACTAGCAGAATTAATGGATAACAAAATATACAATTACATAAGCACATTATCATATAGTATAATAAATTATACTCATTAAAATGCACTTAGTTATCCATTGAACTTGTTTTTAAGAGTGATATGCATAGGTAGTTCCAATTCCTTTAGGTCTGTGTGTAAATAGATGATATAACAAAATAGCCTTATTAACATTTATTTTATTATTCATTTTATTAAATTTTCTAAAATTTTTAAATCAAAATTTCTTTTTTCTTCTTATGGCTATGGTCTACAACTCTGATAAGGTCCTGAATCATCTCATTCAGAGGTAATTGTACCACAATTTTGTGATAACTAGGAAGAAAAATAAACGATAGTGCAATCTCATGTCATCAATAACTCACTTTTCCTCACTCCATATCAGCAATTATCAGATATAAACAAATTGCCTTCCTTATAAACTGACTGATGTAATACTTGAATGGTCCTTAACTAAATTTGCACCAGTATATATATTAAATCTATAATATTTTATACAAACCTGTGTTAAAAATTTCTCTATCAAATATTCCACTGATAATATGACAAGAACTGTCATCTCCTCCACAAATTCCACACTTATCTTCTTTTGCATCTGATCCCAACATTTTGTCACATGGTAAAGGCTAAAAGAATAAATATTGCAATGTGCATTTTTAATGTTGATTAATTTACAATAGTATAATACAATTTAATATTACAATAAATATGCCTAATTAATTAATTAAAGACTCATTGATTTAAATTTATACAGTTAATATCAGAGAATGATTATAATATGTTATTCCACTCCTTATATACAAAGAACATACTAAATAATTCTGCTTTCTAACTAGCATACCCTGATGATGGTGAGTAGTTGAAGCAGGGCATTCTGTAGTGCTCAGACTACTCAGGCATTGAGGAAGAAATATAAAAGGTGCACAGTATTAAAATTTTAAAAGAAATTAATAATTTTTATATTTTCTTCAGTGGCACATAATGACAATTTTTAAAAGGGACCATATGTAAGGAAACCCATTTTTTGTACATTATAACAATTATTATTTAAACACCCTGAAAAAAATTCACTTTATTTTCATATTAATTTTACTTTCCTTGCTCTGTTATATATTTATATAATGGGGGAAGTATGGTCATCAGTCAAAAAAATAATCCCTAAATGTTTTAACATTTTTGGACTTTGGAGACCTTAAAACGTCATCAAGAAAAGGGAAAAAAACCAGGGTTTTTTTTTCTGTATATATGTATGTTAGTGTATGTGTGTGTTTATAGGGCATAGGGAATGATTTTGTTCACTTAATTTCAAACTTAATAACTCCTGTGCTTTTTGTCAAAAATTTCTGAAATTTTTTATGTAGGTTTGTTTATTAGGGAGATTGATGCTATTCAATTTTGGTGATTAAAGGTCAAGGTGGTGGGGAGATAAAGGGGGTCGTGTATATCTCCAGTATGGTCAGACTTAATGACGATTTAACTAGTTATTAGCATTAACAATTTCTTATAAAACCCATCTCTACCCTCAAAATTAAGCTTTTAGCCATTTTATAATAGTTAAAAATATAAAAAGTTGTTTTAATAAAATATGATAACAAATGGCACCACCAAAATTTTAAAAACCAGCAACATTTAAAAGTAAATTTGAAATGTTGCTGGTTTATTTTTCTTGAAAACTCAAGGCTCCAAACGACGTTTGAAGTAGGCGAGCCAGAATACAGCAGGAAAATCGTTGATTGTCTTCTTTCAACTGTGACGATTCACCTAGATAAGCTGCATCATTCACAGATTCAAACTGAATTATGGTTCTCTGCAAGGGACCTTCCATATTGAATTAAAGCTTTCTAATCACATATACCTTCTTTTAAGTAGATTCACACTTTAGATGAAAGCTTTTAATTAATTGTTTTATGATAATAGAAATGTGAAAATTACAAATGCAACGTCTGCAAGCTAGTCCTGTCGACGAGTCAACTAAAGGAGCCCTGAGGGCTGTTTAGATTGGCTCGTGGAAAAGTTGAACTTTGTATAAAGGAGGGGAGGACGGATAGGAAAAATACACGAAAAAATTCATATTTTTCAAATGAAAGGTTTCAAATATAAATGCATATATAAGGATATATAATAAGGATAAGGGGCTGTCCATAAATGACGTCCACACAAGGGAAAGGGGAGGAGTAGAGTTTAAGTGGACGTCTGTTTATTTCATTAAATTTTATGCAGTTTTTGCATTTTATTATATTTATTGCAGACCAGAATCAAAAGAACCTTGAAAACCAAGCACAAGACTGGAAAAATCAGCTGAGAAAAAAATCCAATATAATAAATTGATTAACTTCCCAGGCAACATTTAGTGGCGCCATCTGCTCATATTTTATTAAAATAACTTTTTATATTTTTAAGTGTTATAAAATGGCTAAAAGCTTAATTTTGAGAGTAGGGATGGGATTTATAAGAGATTGTTAATGCTAATAACGAGTAAAGTCGTCATTAAGTCTGACCCTACTGGAGATACACACGACCCCCTTTATCTCCCCACCACCTCGATCTTTAATCACCAAAATTTAATAGCATCTATCCCCCTAATAAGCAAACCTATCTGCAAGATTTCAGAAACTTTCGACAAAAACCACAGGAGTTATTAAACTTCAAAGAGGGTGAACAAAATCATGTCCTCCCCACACACTAATATCCATACATATAGGAAAAAAAAACACAATTTTTTGGAATTTCTCGACGTTTAAAAATAATTTAAAGATTTTAACACATTAAAAAATAAATAATAATATTGATCAAACCTATTTATAACTTTAACATACCAAACATATACCATTAACACATATATCTGTAGCTCCATCGTCATGGCATAAAGTTCCGTCTATAACTCTTCGAGCTCTTCGATGATAGTATCTTGCACCTTTGGGCATACAATTTAGTTCACATGGATTGGGAGCTAGAGAAAAAAGAATTTCAATTAATGTGATATTTATATTAATTAATTAATTCTTCTCCAAGTATATTTTAGTAATGTATTGTGAGGAATTCTCTTAGACATTGACGTTTGTGCGACGGTTAATATGACTACTCCATTCTGAGATATTATAAAAGATCGATTAAAGTTTGACGAGGGCGCGCTTTGGCTCCAACTTCGTCCATAGATTTAACATTGTGAACTTTGACCTTGTATATCTCCGGTCACGGGTCGAATTTTAGAATGCCGTTTGCGTGGTACATGTATTCTATTTGTATGCAAAAAAAATTATTTAAATTGGTTAAGCGATTCGGAGGAGTTAAGGTTATTAGATTATTTCGCACTTCTAACACTTATAGTATTTGATTAATATAACTACAAAGGTTATCTTACGTAAGGATTTGTCACACCGAGTGTCCAATCTAACACATTTTAAAAATTCCTTAAATTGGGTACAGTAAAGAAGTAAAGGCTATTAAAATTTCTTTATTCTTCTACTATACTGTATATGAGTTTATGTGATTACGTGCAGAATACAATGTGAAATACATTGTTATGTCTTGCCTTTAACGCCATTGTTTTTGAATAGGCTATAATAAAATTAAAACAGTCTTCTTGTTTCAATTTTATTACATTCAGACATTCAGAAAACTATTTATTTCTATTGTTATATAGAATCATGGATCACTGAGAATTCAAATTAATTTAAATATCGAATTATACTTTATTTATTAAAATTTATAAATTTGCCGAACATTCTCATATTGAGCCAACTTTCTTGTTTTTAGGATTGAGTATTTTAAGCGCGAAGGACAATAAAAATTCGAATAATTGACATAAATATAATATGTATAAGCTATATTTTTGTACGAAAATATAATTAAATCAACGAACCGCCATAAAAAGGAATCCAACTATAATATTTTCCTTCAAAAGGGATACTGTTGAATCGAGCACATTGTTCCGTTCGGAAATCTCTCGCATTCGGAGGACAATCCTAGAAAAAGTTAAATAATAATTTCAATTTTATTTATATAATATGACTTAATATTTCATAATTGCTACTGCAGATGATATTTTAATTTGTAAAACTTACCTGAATATTACAAGAAAAATATTTTCTAGAAGGTCCCACACAACTATGAAATCCACCTACCCTATGATATAAAATTCATTTTTTTTTAATTCCATTACTATAATTTACAATTTCAAAAATTGTCTAAGATAAAATTATGAATAAAACTTTACTTAATGGCTAATGAAGACGAACAATCTAACTTAAATTTTAGATAAATCTGGCAAGGAAATTTCTAGTTAATATTAAATTTCTTTTAAAATTTCGACTTGGACAAACTGCAGTTATGGAGAGAATGTGGAAATGCTTACCGATAATCCATACATATTCTAGATTGGAAGGAAACACCTCCACCACACGTTCTAGAACATGTACTTCTTATCGTCCACGGACCCCAAGGACCACTCTCGTCTACTTTCGTATCCAAACCCAAAACAAAATCCGTCGGATGATATAATTGCCTTTTGTTTCTATCGGCAATGGCTAACTGTAAAGAGAAGAGTAATTAATAGTTATAAAAGAGAAATTATTTTAAAATCTAAGCCTTTATAAAAATGAATATAATTTAATTAATCAATAAAATTATTTATACATTTTCCGTAATGCTAAATCAAATATAGGTATCACTAGTATAACACGGTAATTACGTTCCGAAAAAGTGCCTTGTAGCTAAGGCATTTGTAGTTTTGCCTTTGCGTACGTCATACTGATGGCCTTTAAGTCTCGTAGGGAGGTTTCTGGATTTGTATCCTATGTATTTGCTTGTTTTCTTTCCAGATCTAAATTAAGATAAACACTCATATGGTTTCGCCATTCGCTAGGGTGATGTTTAAATCGAGGAAATGTGAATTGGTCTAAGGTTTTTCTCATCCCATACGGATTGTTGTCGACGGTGTTGACAAACTGCTGTATGTTTAGTTTTTTGTTCCACATGATTAATACAGCACCAACGTAACGTTTATATAGCAAAATATTACTGTATTTTGATATTTGGAATAAGGTACTCTCCATACTTCTTAACACTAGCACGCAAAGTATAATATCTTTCTGTTGAATAATATCTTTCTGTTGACATCATAACAGGAATAACATCATAAATCCTTATGACGTGCCGAATTATGATGACGTTATTCCTATTATGATGCCGACAGAAAGACACTATTCCTATAATTCTGCACATTACAGAGATGTGCCTAATTCCTAAGTCAATGTCGCTCAACCGGATCAAATTCATCCATTCCTTAACCAAACGTTGTGATAGTGATAGACATTTGCACACGTTCTTAAAGTCGAAATTGACGNAAATCAAATATAGGTATCACTAGTATAACACGGTAATTACGTTCCGAAAAAGTGCCTTGTAGCTAAGGCATTTGTAGTTTTGCCTTTGCGTACGTCATATTGATGGCCTTTAAGTCTCGTAGGAAGGTTTCTAGATTTGTATCCTATGTATTTGGTTGTTTTCTTTCCAGATCTAAATTAAGATAAACACTCATATAGTTTCGCCATTCGCTAGGGTGATATTTAAATCGAGGAAATGTGAATTGGTCTAAGGTTTTTTTCATCCCATACGGATTGTTGTCGCCGGTGTTGACAAACTGCTGTATGTTTAGTTTTTTGTTCCACATGATTAATACATCACCAACGTAACGTTTATATAGCAAAATGTTATTTTGATATTTGGAATAAAGTACTCTCCATACTTCTTAGCACTAGCACGCAAAGTAATCCTGCCATAGATCTACCCATTGGGATTTGGGACCGTTCTTTTTTGCAGGTATACCTCACCTTCAAATTGAAAGAAAGATGTGTAGCATATTAATTGCACTGTCTCTTTCAAAGTTTAGATATGGATGGCCTGGATGCCCTGCATCTACTTAATTAAGTAAACTATCGTGACAAGATTGTAGTTTAATTGAAGGGTATAAGTTTTGATAGTCTAACACAGATATGTATTCATCATCTGGTAAGACTATTCGCCTCAGTTCTTCTGCCAATTGGGCTGGGTTATGTATTTTACAATAATCCAGTTCGAGGTTAATAGGCCTATATGAGATTAATATGGCTTTTAATTAACTTATACATAGTGACGGTGTGTTTTATCATGTTCACCTACTTCATAGGGAGGCGCGTTTGGTTGTAAATTATAGGAATAATATCTTTCTGTTGACATCATAACAGGAATAACATCATAAATTCTTATGACGTGCCGAATTATGATGACGTTATTCCTATTATGATGTCGACAGAAAGACACTATTCCTATAATTCTGCACATTACAGAGATGTGCCTAATTCCTAAGTCAATGTCGCTCAACCGGATCAAATTCATCCATTCCTTAACCAAACGTTGTGATAGTGATAGACATTTGCACACGTTCTTAAAGTCGAAATTGACGTAAGTAAAACTTAAGCTAAAAACTAAATCTAATCAAAACTAAGCATCAAGTATGATATTTCTTTATTTAAATGGAATATTACAGCCACTTTACGTAAAAACTGACATTTTAACACAAACTTCTTAAAAAAAAAAAACTTATTGAAACTAAAGATATTTTCCCACAGTTTGAGTAAATTTTAATTTTATGCACATCTGCTCTTATGTCTGCTTTTTATTCTGTTCTTACTACTTTTTAACGCTTTCCAATCTATCGACACTAAGAAGGCCTTTTTGTGTATGTTCACGATAACGTGGATGATAGGATGGAGTCCGACATGTCCGCAACAACCCACACACAAAAATTCCTCAGCCAATTGGAATTCGAAGACGAGCCTTTCAGAGATACCTGAGAGATTAGGGTTTGACTCCAGGTCGGAAACCTTAGGAACTTTTCATGGGCAATCTCTTCAGATCGTGTCAGGTTATGGGGCTGATCGAACTCGTGGTAAAAATTGGAAAAAAGACAAAAAAAAGGAAGTTGCAAACTAAAAAGAAAAAGTCAGAGTAGGAAAATTGATATATTTATTAATATTTTGTTTGATTCGGACAGCGAGTTGCCCAGGTTATTAGATTA